GGAGTGCTACTGATAGACCCAGAGTACCTAAAAGACCGAAAAGGTAAGGTGTGCGTGCGAGCGTGTGCGATTCACAATTTTCACATCCCTTTATTTCTCTTCTCACGTTCCCTTCCTCTCTCCTTCTTCTTAATTTTTCTTAACTCTTCCCTCTCCCCCTCCAACTCCCCCTCCCCTCCTCCAGTCTTTGTGACTCTGACCTGTGCGTTCCGGTACGGTCGGGAGGACCTAGACGTTCTAGGGTTGTCCTTTAGGAAGGACCTCTACATCTCCACCTTCCAGGCCTTCCCTGCCGTCACCACAGAGGAACGTAAACCACTCAGCCGCCTGCAGGAGAGACTGCTGAAGAAGCTGGGCCAGCACGTATACCCATTCAACTTCACTGTGAGTTCTATAGACTGGCACACTGTTCAGCAAACACACCAGTTGAAATCAACTGTGTGTGAGCATGTTTAGCACGTCTTCCCTTGTGTTTGTGTACCGTTCTGTGGTTGTGTATTTCTGTCTCCAATGTCTGTGTGCCTGTTTGTTGGTGAGCAGTTGTGTATCATTCTGTGGCGTGACTGCTAAATATCTCTCTTTCAGATCCCTCAGAACCTGCCCTGCTCAGTCACTCTACAGCCAGGACCAGAGGACACAGGGAAGGTACAGAGACCACACACACACACACACACACACACACACACACACACACACACACACACACATAATGTATAGACTCACAGCACTTTTTATCCAATGTCTGTCTCTCCCTCTGTCTCTCTCTCTGTCTCTCTCCCTCTGTCTCTCCCTCTGTCTCTCTCCCTCTGTCTCTCTCCCTCTGTCTCTCTCCCTCTGTCTCTCTCGGCCTCTGTCTCTCGGCCCTCTGTCTCTCGGCCCTCTGTCTCTCTCCCTCTGTCTCTCTCCCTCTGTCTCTCTCCCTCTGTCTCTCTCTCTGTCTCTCTCTCTGTCTCTCTCTCGGTCTCTCCGTCGGTCTCTCCCTCTGTCTCTCTCCCTCTGTCTCTCTCCCTCTGTCTCTCTCCCTCTGTCTCTCTCCCTCTGTCTCTCTCCCTCTGTCTCTCTCCCTCTGTCTCTCCCTCTGTCTCTCCCTCGGTCTCTCCCTCTGTCTCTCCTCTGTCTCTCCCTCTCTCTCTCTCTCTGTTCTCTCTCTCCTCTCTCTCCTCCTGTCTTCCCTCGGTCTCTCCCTCTGTCTCTCCCTCTGTCTCTCCTCTGTCTTCTCCTCTGTCTCTCCGTCGTCTCTCCGTCTGTCTCTCCCTCTGTCTCTCCTCTCCTCTGTCTCTCTCCCTCTTCTCTCTCCCTCTGTCTCTCTCCCTCTGTCTCTCCCTCTGTCTCCTCCTCTGTCTCTCCTCTGTCTCTCTCTCTGTCTCTTCCTCTGTCTCTCCTCTGTCTCTCTCCTCTCTGTCTCTCTCCTCTCTGTCTCTCTCCTCTCTGTCTCTCTCCCTCTGTCTCTCTCCTCTGTCTCTCTCCTCTGTCTCTCTCCCTCTGTCTCTCTCCCTCTGTCTCTCTCCCTCTGTCTCTCTCTCTGTCTCTCTCCTCTGTCTTCTCTCGGTCTCTCCCTCGGTCTCTCCTCTGTCTCTCTCCCTCTGTCTCTCTCCCTCTGTCTCTCTCCGTCTGTCTCTGTCCTCGGTCTCTCTCTTTCTCTCTCCCTCTGGTCTCTCTCCCTCTGTCTCCTCCCTCCTGTCTCTCCCGTCGTCTCTCCCCGGTCTCTCCCTCTGTCTCTCCCTTCGGTACTCTCTCTCTCCCGTCGGTTCTCTCCCTCTCCCTCTGTCTCTCCCTCTGTCTCTCCCTATGTCTCTCCATCTTGGTCTCTCCCTCTGTACTCTCCCTCTGTCTCTCCCTCTGTCTCTCCCTCGGTCTCTCCTCGGTCTCGCTCGCTCTCTGTCTCGCCCTCTGTCTCTCTCTCTGTCTCTCGCTGTCTCTCCCTCTGTCTCTCGTCTCTCCACTCTGTCTTCGTCTCTACTCAGGCCTGTGGAGTGGACTTTGAGGTCAGAGCCTTCTGCGCCAGGACTGTAGAGGAGAAGATACACAAAAGGTACAATGTAGTCGAAGCTATGTGTTTTGGTTCAGGGATTCAGTGCAGAGGGTTTAAGTGATCGTGGATGTGATGTATAGGAAATCTGTGCTGTTGATAATCCTAGTCTGTGTGTGTGTTTGTTATATGATTGGGTGCATATAGCGTTTTCATATGATATTATATATGTTATTATAGGAACTCAGTGCGTCTGGTGATCCGTAAGGTGCAGTATGCCCCAGAGAAGCCTGGTCCTCAGCCCATGGTGGAGACAACGCGATCCTTCCTAATGTCAGATAGATCCCTACATCTAGAGGCCTCACTGGATAAAGAGGTAGGACAGGACAAACCGAGACAGATAGAGACCGACACGCATAGGCAGACGGACAGACGCACGGCTGCACGATGGACACACACACACACACACACACACACATTCATTAGTTAAAAGCGTTATGCAAACATTTGGTTGATTGGTTACAGCCTGAGATTATCCCCCAACCAACCGAATTCACTCCTCCCCATGTTCTCTCTCTCTGTCTTCCTCTCTTCCCCCCCCCCCCCTCTCAGCTCTACTACCATGGAGAGCCTATCAGTGTGAATGTACATGTCACCAACAACTCCACCAAAACAGTTAAGAGGATGAAAATCTCAGGTAAGACACTCCCTACCCCTCCCCCTTGCCCCAACCCTTCTTTTCTGCAGAAGCTCCACCACTGCACTGCTGATACCTACCCAGACCCTACAGATCTGCAAACATCGAGGGGTTAGGCCCAAGGGGGAGGGTTACGGAGCGATTTGGGAAAGACTGTAACAGAGGAGAGGCGCAGCCTTCCCATGTTCCCTTCTGCCACTCCTCTGCTCTCTCCATCTTTGTTGCTGTGTGTCTGTCAGTATTTTGCCTCTCCTGGTGTTATTAACCCTTTCTCTCCCCTGCTGCAGTGCGTCAGTACGCTGATATCTGTCTGTTCAGTACGGCTCAGTACAAGTGTCCTGTTGCACAGGAAGAGGCAGAGTGAGTACCCCTTCTCTCCGAAACCTCTCTCTCCATCCCTGTATCCTTCTCTTCATCACGTTCTCTCTCCTTTGGCCCTCGGGACCACACTCTCCTTTTTTCTCCTCTGTGAGAGAATGTTGGGTGAATGCAGACAGGTTGTGTGGCCAAACGGATACTCACTTTTAGTACTCTTGTTTTGTTTGACTATTTCTGTATAACTTCTACCCTCATTTTGTATGACCCTCTATGCTCACTAAAAATGTACAATGCTTCGACATCACTCCTGCCCCTCTCCCAATATACAACACCCTCCAAACCCCCCTCTCTACTGGCACTACCATTCCTGACTACCCCTCTCCTCCTCTCAGCTCAACACCTCTCCTGCCCTGTTACCTCCCACCCAACCCACTCTGAGACCCAAGGCAACCTCATCTCCTCCCCGTCTAGTAACATCACAGCCCCTCGTCCCCTTGTTATGACATCATGGAGTTGGTTGGTGTTCTCTCCCCCTGTACTGTAGTTTTACAGGTGACTGATGTAGTGCTGCACAGATGTGACACCTACAATAAGTCTGTGGGCCACGCCTCCGACAGGTGAGTAGAGGAGCAACACTGGGATTGGCTTAAAGTAACTGTCCAGTGTTTCCAGATTTCTATAAAATATGACCTATAATTCGTTAATTAAGTATGTTAAAAAGCTGCTTTACTCTGTTGGAAGGGTGTGGGTGTACCCCAACAACAGAATGGTGTGGGTATAAACCGGTTATTAAAAATATTAATCAGAGTAGACCGCTGATGACATCATCCTTTATGAGGAAATAGCAAGCATTTCTGAAACGGTCTGTTTGAGATACAAGTTTGAGGTGGGGTTTTTAAGTGTTTTTATGCTTTGGCCACACATACGAGTATAGGATGAGTCAACAACATTATTTGGGTATGAGTTAACAGAATATTAACTTTTAAAAGTGAGATTTTCACTGGACAGTTACTTTAACCCCCAGAGCTCCCAGACCCAGACCTCCCCACAACCCCAGTACCTGGCTTGATTTAGGCCCACCAAAACTTCCCCTCATAGTCTAAATCTTGATCCCAAACCTCCCACCCTGATAATTATCCTTCTGGACCCCCCTTATCCCCAAAACCCAATTGCCTTCCTCTCAAATTGCGGGAAATCTCTGACTGGTACCCAGTCCAGTCCCCTTCAATTCTCCTCTCCCTCTCTGTTCTAATGGCAGCATCTTTAATCCTTTCGTTCCTCTCAACTTTCCTTACTGCTTCCTAAGCGTTGTGGATGTGTGTACAAGAGTGAGTGAGTAGGAACCAACCACATATGATGAAACAGAGAGAAATTCTAAATCCTTTCTCTCTCTTCCACAGTGACCAGGTGTCCCCCAGCAGTACGTTCTGTAAGGTGTACACCCTGACTCCCATGCTCACCAATAACAGAGAGAAGAGAGGCCTGGCTCTGGACGGGAAGCTGAAGCACGAAGATACCAACCTGGCCTCCAGCACCATGTAAGAGACTAGAGAGACACCCACATAAAAACACATATATATATTTACAGTGCATTCAGAAAGTATTCCGACCCCTTGACTTTTTCCACATTTTGTTACGTTACAGCCTTATTCTAAAACAGATTCAATTATTTTTTTCCCTCATCAATCTACACACAATACCCCATAATGACAAAGCACAAACAGGTTTTTAGACATTTTTGCACATTTATTAAAAATAAAAAACAGATATAGTAGTATTTAGACCCTTTGCTATGAGACTCGAAATTGAGCTCAGGAGCATCCTGTTTCCATTGATCATCCTTGAGATGTGTCTGCAACTTGATTGGAGTCCACCTGTGGTAAATTCAATTGATTGGACATGATTTGGAAATGCACACACCTGGGACAGTGCATGTCAGAGCAAAACCAAGCCATGAGGTCGAAGGAATTGTCCGTAGAGCTCAGAGACAGGATTGTGTCGAGGCACAGATCTGGGGAAGGGTACCAAAACATTTCTACAGCATTGAAGATTCACAAGAACACAGTGGCCTCCATCATTCTTAAATGGAAGAAGTTTGGAACAACCAAGATTCTTCCTAGAGCTGGCCACCCGGCCAAACTGAGCAATCGGGGGAGAAGGGCCTTGGTCAGGGAGGTGACCAAGAACCCGATGGTCACTCTGACAGATCTCCAGAGTTCTTCTGTGGAGATCGGAGAACCCAGAAGGACATCCATCTCTGCAGCACTCCACCAATCAGGCCTTTATGGTAGAGTTGCTAGACGGAAGCCACTCCTCAGTAAAAGGCACATGACAGCCCGCTTGGAGTTTGCCAAAAGGCACCTAAAGGACTCTTGGTCTGATGAAACCAAGATCAAACTCTTTGGCCTGAATGCGAAGCATCACGTCTGGAGGAAACCTGGCACCATCCCTAGGGTGAAGCATGGTGGTGGCAGCATTATGCTGTGGGGATGTTTTTCAGCGGCGGGGACTGGGAGACTAGTCAGGTTTGAGGGAAAGATGAACGGAGCAAAGTACCAAGAGATCCTTGATGAAAACCTGCTCTAGAGCACTCAGGATATCAGACTGGGGCGAAGGTTCACTCAAGGACAACGACCCTAGGCACACAGCCAAGACAACGCAGGAGTGGCTTCGGGACAAGTCTCTGAATGTCCTTGAGTGGCCCAGCCAGAGCCCGGACTTGAACCCGATCGAACATCTCTGGAGGGACCTGAAAGTAGCTGTGCAGCGCGCTCCCCATCCAACCTGACAGAGCTTGAGAGGATCTGCAAAGAAGAATGGGAGAAACCTCCCAAATAAAGCTGTGCCAAGCTTGTAGCGTCATACCCAAGAAGACTCGAGGCTGTAATCGCTGCCAAAGGTGCTTCAACAAAGAACTGAGTAAAGGGTCTGAATGTGATATTTCCATTTTTAATACATTTGCAAAAATGTCTAAAAACCTGTTTTTGCTTTGGCATTATGGGGTATTGTGTGTAGATTGATGAAGGGAAAAAAACACTTACTCCATTTTAGAAAAAGTCTAAAACGTAACAAAATGTGGAAAAAGTCAAGGGGTCTGAATACTTTCCGAATGCACTGTATGTATACACACACACACACAGTACCAGTCAAAAGTTTGGACACACCTACTCATTCAAGGGTTTTTCTTTATTTTTACTATTTTCTACATTGTAGAATAATAGTGAAGACATCAAAACTATGAAATAACACATATGGAATCATGTAGTAACCAAAAAAGTGTTAAACAAATCAAAATATGTTTTATATTTGAGATTCTTCAAATAGCCACCCTTTGCCTTGATGACAGCTTTGCACACTCTTGGCATTCTCTCAACCAGCTTCACCTGGAATGCTTTTCCAACAGTCTTGAAGGACTTCCCGCATATGCTTATCTCTTGTTGGCTGCTTTTCCTTCACTCTGCCGTCCGAATCATCCCAAACCATCTCAATTGGGTTGAGGTCGGGGGATTGTGGAGGCCAGGTCATCTGATGCAGCACTCCATCACTCTCCTTCTTGGTAAAATAGCCCTTACACAACTTGGAGGTGTGTTGGGTCATTGTCCTGTTGAAAAACAAATGATAGTCCCACTAAGCCAAATCAGATGGGATGGCATATCGCTGCAGAATGCTGTGGTACCCATGCTGGTTCAGTTTGCCTTGAATTCTAAATAAATCACAGACAGTGTCACCAGCAAAGCACCCCCACACCATAACACCTCCTCCTCTGTGCTTTACAGTGGGAACTACACTTGCGGAGATCATCCGTTCACCCACACCGCGTCTCACAAAGACACAGCGGTTGGAACCAAAAATCTCACATTTGGACTCCAGACAAATTTCCACCGGTCTAATGTCCATTGCTCGTGTTTCTTGGCCCAAGCAGGTCTCTTCTTATTATTGATGTCCTTTAGTAGTGGTTTCGTTGCAGCAAATCGACCATGAAGGCCTGATTCACACAGTCCCCTCTGAACAGTTGATATTGGGATGTGTCGGTGACTTGAACTCTGTGAAGCATTTATTTGGGCTGCAATTTCTGAGGCTGGTAACTCTTATGAACTTATCCTCTGCAGCAGAGATAACTCTGGGTCTTCCATTCCTGTGGTGGTCCTCATGAGAGCCAGTTTCATCATAGCGCTTGATGGTTTTGCGACTGCACTTGAAGAAACTTTCAAAGTTCTTGAAATGTTCCGTATTGACTGACCTTCATGTCTTAAAGTAATGATGGACTGTCGTTTCTCTTTGCTTATTTGATCTGTTCTTTCCATAATATGGACTTGGTCTTTTACCAAATAGGGCTATCTTCTGTATACCCCCCTACCTTTTCACAACACAACTGATTGGCTCAAACACATTAAGAAGTGAAGAAATTCCACAAATTAACTTTTAAGAAGGCACACCTGTTAATTGAAATGCATTCCAGGTGACTACCTCATGAAGCTGGTTGAGAGAATGCCAAGAGTGTGCAAAGTTGTCATCAAGGCAAAGGGTGGCTATTTGAAGAATCTCAAATATAAAACATATTTTGATTTGTTTAACACTTTTTTGGTTACTACATGATTCCATATGTGTTATTTCATAGTACTGATGTCTTCACTATTATTATACAGTGTAAAAAATTGTTTAAAAAAAGAAAAACCCTGGAATGAGTAGGTGTGTCCAAACTTTTGACTGGTACTGTATATATACACACACTGAATAAAAATATAAACGTAACATGTAAAGTGTTGGTCCCATGTTTCATGAGCTGAAATAAAAGGTCCCCGAAATGTTCCATACGCACAAAAAGCATATTTTGTCTCAAATTTGGTGCACACATTTTTTTACATCCCTGTTGGTGAGCATTTTTCCTTTGCCAAGATAATATATCCACCTGACAGGTGTGGCATATCAAGAAGCTGATTAAACAACATAATCATTACACAGGTGCACCTTGTGCTGGGGACAATAAAAGGCCACTCTAAAATGTGCAGTTTTACATTTTACATTACATTTTAGTCATTTAGCAGACATTCTTATCCAGAGCAACTTACTTGAGCAATTAGGGTTAAGTGCCTTGCTTAAGGGCACATCGACAGATTTTTCACCTAGTCGGCTCGGGGATTAGAACCAGCGACCTTTCGGTTACTGGCACAACGCTCTTACCCACTAAGCTACCTGCCACCCCTCACACAACACAATGCCACAGATGTCTCAAGATTTGAGGGAGCGTGCAATTGGCATGCTGACTGCAGGAATGTCCACCAGAGCTGTTGCCAGAGAATTGAATGTTAATTTCTCTACCGTAAGCCACCTCCAACGTCGTTTTAGAGAATTTGGCAGTACGTCCAACCAGCCTCGCAACCGCAGACCACGTGTATGGCGTCAAGTGGGTGAGCGGTTTGCTGATGTCAATGTTGTGAACAGAGTGCCCCATGGTTTGGTTATAGTGTGGGCAGGCATAAGCTACAGACAACAAACACAATTATCCTGAGGCCCATTGTCGTGCCATTCATCCGCCGACATCACCTCATGTTTCAGCATTATAATGCACTGCCCCATGTTGCAAGGATCTGTACACAATTTCTGGAAGCTGAAAATGTCCCAGTTCTTCCATGGCCTGCATACTTACCAGACACCATTTGAGCATGTCACCCGTCAATATCCAGCAACTTCGCACAGCCATTGAAGAGGAGTAGGACAACATTCCACAGGCCACAATCAACAGCCTGATCAACTCAATGCGAAGGAGATGTGTTGCGCTGCACAAGATACCAACTGGTTTTCTGATCCACGCCCCAGCCTTTTTTTCCAGCTGCATATCTGTCTTCCCAGTCATGTGAAATCCATAGATTAGGGCCTAATGCGTTTATTTCAATTGACTGATTTCCTTATATGAACTGTAACTCAGTAAAATCTTTGAAATTGTTGCGTTTATATTTTTGATCAGGATAGAAACACACACACCTAGACACACACCAACCTGGCCTCGAGACTAGAGCGAGAAAGCAAGAGACAGACACAGACAGACAGACACACAGACTCATGCACGCCCGCCCGCACACATAGGAGTTGCGACATACCTTGCAGTTGGCACTAGACTTCTTGAAGACTCTGGGGGGGGGGGAAAGAAATGAGAGAGATGCACATAATTAGTCACCAAGATAAACAAACAAACAAACACTGCCTCTTATATACACTCACTGGACAGTTTATTAGGTACACCCATCTAGTACTGGGTCGGACCCCCCTTTGCCTCCAGAACAACCTGACTTCTTCGGGGCATTGATTACACAAGTCGGAAACGTTCCACAGGGATGTTGGTCCATGCTGATGCGATGGCATCATGCAGGTGCAGCAGATTGGACGGCGGTACACCACCGCCACTAGCCTGTACCGTTGACACCAGGCAGGATGGGTCCATGGACTCATGCTGCCTCTACCAAATCCAGACTCTGCCATCAGCATGACTCAACAGGAACCGGGATTCTTCGGAACAGGCAATGTTTTTCCACTCCTCAGTTGTCCAGTGTTTGCGATCGCGTGCCCACTGGAGTCGCTTCTTCTTGTTTTTAGCTGATAGGAGTGGAACCCGGTGTGGTCGTCTGCTGCCATAGCCCATCCGTGACAAGGATCGACAAGTTGTGCATTACGAGATGCCATTCTGCACACCACTGTTGTACTGCACACATTATTTGTCTGTTTGTGGCCCGCCTGTTAGCTTGCACGATTCTTGCCATTCTCCTTCAACCTCTCTCATCAACGAGCTGTTTTCGCTCACAGGACTGCCGTTGACTGGATGTTTTTTGTTTGTCGCGCCATTCTCGGAAACCCTTAGACACTGTTGTGCGTGAAAAGCCCAGAAGGGCGGCCGTTTCTGAGATACTGGATCCGGCGTGCCTGGCACTGACGATCATACCACGCTCAGAGTTGCTTATGTCACTAGTTTTGCCCATTCTAACGTTCAATCGAACAGTAACTGAATGCCTCAATGCCTGTCTACCTGCTTTATATAGCAAGCCACAATCCATTTTCTTGAACGGGGTGGTTTACCTAATAAACTGGGTGTATATGCATGCAGTTCTCCTCTTGTCTGTCTGTTGTGTTTCATTGATGTGTGTCTGTTTTGATGTGTTCCAGAGTGAAAGACGTGTCCAATAAGGAGGTTCTGGGAATCCTGGTGTCTTACAGAGTCAAGGTCAAACTAGTGGTGTCCCGTGGAGGGTATGTTACATATTGGCTCATACACATGCACTACTGTCTGTCTTACATAGATTCATGAAGTGGTTGTAAGTAAACATTTCCACCTGGATTAAGCTGGAACGTTTTCTGAGTATTAGTTCATCTATGCCTGATGTCTGAGTGGTCTCCCACTGGGCACAAACTGGTTGAATCATCAACATTGTTTCAACTTAATTTGTCAACCTATTGTGACATGGAATCAACGTGGAAAATACATTAGAACTGAAAAAAGTCATCAACGTAAACTGTTGTTTTGAGGGTGAAATTTAAACCACAGGATTATGTCATCATGGTATGCAAATTTCAACATAGACAAACCTTGTATAAAATATGTTGAATTTGTAAGTTTAAAACAACGTCAGATTTTCAACATTATATCCACTATCAGAAAAAAAACCAATAGACTAGGCAGCACCTCCTACTGGAGAATTGAAATATCTACAGCTACCCTTTGGTCTCCCAAGCAAGGTTTTAACCAAGCCCAGCCCTGCTTAGCTATGATATTTGTCACTGACAATTACCAATGTGCTATCGTGAGAATGATTGAGAGATCTCCACTAAATAGATTCACTGGTGCTATCGAACTCATTCCAAAGGGTCGTTTAAACTTTGCATCTGCACTGTTTCAAGTAAATATGTTTTTGTAAAATTGTCAGTGGAAATTGTTAAAAGTCGTCGTTGTGCATCGAGTTGTATGGTTTGTTTAACTTTGCAATCATTGGTTTTTGTTTGGCAAACATTTTAAAGTTAGAAATCTGAATCTCAGTAGTCTCTGTTACAGTGGAATTGCCCTAAATCTCCTTCAAGTGCATTGACAACCAAACACAATTCAATATCACATTTGAAATACAATAAATAGCCTATGAACTTGTCGACAAGTTAACACATGATGTGTTGGATTCACGTCTCCATCTCAACCAAAAATAAGTTAAATAATGGGATTAAGCCAGTGGCTCAGATAGAACTTTCCAAACAGTACATACATCTCCTTTAAATGTTGATATTTGGTTGGGTTGTCAACCATACACAATTCATTATTACTTTTGTAATACAGTAAATAGCCTAACGTTAATGCTATTTTACAAGCTAATGTAACATTCAACCTTAAAATGAGTAACACAGGGCCTCCCGAGTGGCGCAGCGGTCTAAGGCACTGCATCGCAGTGCTTGAGGCGTCACTACAGACCCGGGTTTGATCCTGGGCTGTGTCGTAGCCGGGCCGCGACCGGGAGACCCATGAGACGGCGCACAATTGGACCCAGCGTCGTCCAGGTCGGGGGAGGGTTTGGGCGGCCGGGATGTCCTTGTCCCATCGCGCTCTAGCAACTCCTTTGGCAGGCGATGCACGCTGACATCGGTCGGCAGTTGTACGGCGTTTCCTCCGACACATTGGTGTGGCTGGCTTCCGGGTTAAGCAAGCAGTGTGGCTTGGCAGGGTCGTGTTTCGGAGGATGCATGGCTCTCGACCTTCGCCTCTCCCGAGTCGGTACGGGTGTTCCAGCGATGGGACAAGACTGTAACTACCAATTGGATATCACGAAAAAGGGGTAAAAAGTAACAAAATAAAAAATGAGTAACAAATCCATGGCCACTTTTTGGGGCAACAATGTCTTCTTATGCAATCACATAAAACATGCTTGTTCAAGATAGCATGCAGAGGTCATCACAGGTCTATGGAGATCTTCATAATTGAGGTAATAATCTACACAGAATCTCAAACCGCATTGATCACTTGCACCATCTCAACTGCAATCCAGGTCATTTGGTTCTGCTATAAATAAACAAAATATCTGTATTCCCATTTGAACTTTGCTGTGCTGTAAATGGTTAAAAGCACAGCGATAGACATTTGGGTGACAACTAAACCAAAATCAGACATAATTCTTTAACTTTTGGCTTTCTTTTTGAGTGGGTGAATATAGGCTGTAATCTTATTTTTTTATTTTATTTCACCTTTATTTAACCAGGTAAGCCAGTTGAGAACAAGTTCTCATTTACAACTGCGACATGGCCAAGATAAAGCAAAGCAGTACAATAAAAACAACAACAACACATATGGGATAAACAAAAACGTACAGTTAATAACACAATAGAAAAATAGAAAATATATATACAGTGTTTGTAAATGAAGGAAGTTATGGAGGTAAGGCAATAAATAGGCCATAGTGTAAAAGAGTTACAATTTAGTATTAACACTGGAATGATAGATGTGCAGAAGATGATGTGCAAATAGAGATACTGGGGTGCAAATGAGCAAAATAAATAACAATATGGGGATGAGGTAGTTGGGTGGGCTAATTACAGCTGGGCTGTGTACAGGTGCAGTGATCGGTAAGGTGCTCTGACATCTGATGCTTAAATTTAGTGAGGGAGATAAGTCTCCAGCTTCAGAGATTTTTGCAGTTCGTTCCAGTCATTGGCAGCAGAGAACTGGAAGGAATGGCAGCCAAAGGAGGTGTTGGCTTTGGGGATGACCAGTGAGATATACCTGCTGGAGCGCATACTACGGGTGGGTGTTGCTATGGTGACCAATGAGCTAAGATAAGGCGGGGATTTGCGTAGCAGTGATTTATAGATGACCTGGAGCCAGTGGGTTTGGCGACGAATATGTAGTGAGGGCCAGCCAACGAGAGCTTACAGGACACAATGGTGGGTAGTATATGGGGCTTTGGTGACAAAACAGATGGCACTGTGATAGACTACATCCAATTTACTGAGTAGAGTGTTGGAGGCTATTTTGTAAATTACATCGCTGAAGTCAAGGATCGGTAGGATAGGCAGTTTTACGAGGGCATGTTTGGCAGCATGAGTGAAGGAGGCTTTGTTTCGAAATAAGAAGCCGATTCTAGAATTAACTTTGGATTGGAGATGCTTAATGTGAGTCTGGAAGGAGAGTTTACGGTCTAACCAGACACCTAGGTATTTGTAGTTGTCCACATATTCTAAGTCAGACCCGCCGAGAGTAGTGATTCTAGTCGTGCGGGCGGGTGCAAGCAGCGTTCGATTGAAGAGCATGCATTTAGTTTTACTAGTGTTTAAGAGCAATTGGAGGCTACGGAAGGAGTGTTGTATGGCATTGAAGCTCGTTTGGAGGTTTGTTAACAGAGTGTCCAATGAAGGGCCAGATGTATACAAAATGGTGTCATCTGCGTAGAGGTTGATCTGAGAGTCACCAGCAGCAAGAGCGACATCATTGATATACACAGAGAATAGAGTCGGCTCGAGAATTTAACCCTGTGGCACCCCCATAGAGACTGCCAGAGGTCCAGACAACAGGCCCCCCGATTTGACACATTGAACTCTATCTGAGAAGTAGTTGGTGAACCAGGCGAGGCAGTCATTTGAGAAACCAAGGCTAATTTGTCTGCCAATAAGAATGCGGTGATTGACAGAGTCGAAAGCCTTGGCCAGGTCGATGAAGACGGCTGCACAGTACTGTCTTTTATTGATCGCAGGGGATGCAGAGCTGGTGGCCGGGGTAGGGGTAGCCAGGTGGAAAGCATGGCCAGCCGTAGCAAAATGCTTGTTGAAATTCTTGATTATCGTACATTAATCGGTGGTGACAATGTTTCCTAGCCTCAGTGCAGTGGGCAGCTGGGAGGAGGTGCTCTTATTCTCCATGGACTTTACAGTGTCCCAAAACGTTTTGGAGTTAGTGCTACAGGATGCACATTTCTGTTTGAAAAAGCTAGCCTTTGCTTTCCTAACTGATTGTGTATATTGGTTCCTGACTTCCCTGAAAAATTGCATATCGCGGGGGCTGTTCGATGCTAATGCAGTACGCCACAGGATGTTTTTGTGCTGGTCAAGGGCAGTCAAGTCTGGGGTGAACCAGGGGCTATATCTGTTCTTAGTTCTGAATTTTTTGAATGGGGCATGCTTATTTAAGATGGAGAGGAAAGCGCTTTTAAAGAACAACCAGGCATCCTCTACTGATGGAATGAAGTCAATATCCATCCAGGATACCCGGGCCAGGTCAATTAGAAAGGCCTGCACGCTGAAGTGATTTAGGGAGCGTTTGACAGTGATGAGGGGTGGCCGTTTGACCGCGGACCCATTACGGACGCAGGCAATGAGGCAGTGATCGCTGAGATCCTGGTTGAAGACAGCGGAGGTGTATTTATAGGGTAAATTTGTCAGGATGATATCTATGAGGGTGCCCATGTTTACGGATTTAGGGTTGTACCTGGTAGGTTCCTTGAGTCAACACATGATAGTGCCTGGGGAGTAGGAGTGATATTGGGGGCTACAGGGCCTGGGTTACAAAGGAGCTATCTGAGGCAGGTTGAGCGGGACTGGGGGCTCTACAGTGAAATAGTACAATAAGAACTAACCGAAACAGCAATAGGCAAGGCATATTGACATGGGAGTGAGGCATAAAGCAATCACAGATGTTATTTGAGAGAGCTAAGACAACAGCTGGTAATGGCGAGGAAAGTTTGGGCTGAGGCTAAACAGATAAACAGGATGGGGTACCGTATAAAGGAACAGCCTTTAACAGCCTGGCTCGAGGCTAGCTCAAGACTAACTGGTGCTTGCTTCGGGACAGTGGTGATTAGCCAACAACAACAACAGCCATTCGGTTATTGATCAATGTCTCAACCAAATATTACCCAATTATCCACGTTGAAATGATGTGGTGTGCCCAGTGTGCTGGCATTGCTTTAACATTACTGTGTATGTCCTCTGTACAGCGATGTGTCGGTGGAGCTGCCTTTTGTCCTGATGCACCCCAAACCCACAGACCAACTCATTTCCAGACCTCAATCAGGTACAGACCAATGTGTGTGTGATCGAGAAAAATATATTTTAGAAATAAAGTGTTTTGCAGTGATATTTACCTGTTTTGCAATGTCATTACTTTATCCCACAGCCATCCCAGAAACAGATGCCCCAGTGGACACTAACCTGATAGAGTTTGAGACAAAGTAAGAGAGAAAGAGAGAGGGTGTGTGTCTCAGATTTCAATTTAACCTTGTTTGTTGTTGAACACAATTTTAATCTCTTCCTCTTTCTCCCTCCCTCCCTTCCTCCATTCATTCCTTCCTCTTCCCTCTCTCTCAGTAATTTCTCTCAGGATGATGACTTTGTGTTCGAGGACTTTGCCCGTCTGCGACTGAAAGGAATGAAGGACGATGAGGATGACCACTTCTGCTAGTTCTCCCTCCCCCAGGACCAGGCACCCAAACCTGGGGAGAGCAGCTAGGCGAGTCACTGGTCTAGTCTCGGCACCAGACAGTAGGCCCAACTCCAGAAAAAGGGTGCAGGAGCACTCAGATATTTTAAAAAGCCTCCTCCCTTTCTCTTCTTATGCTTCTTTTTCTCCCCTCTTCTTTCTCCTACATCTGCGATGGCATTGTTCATTTCTACTCCTTTGTTTTTTCACTCCTTTTGTTTGAAAAACAGAGATAATGAGAGAGAGAGGGAGATATTTATAGGGAGTGTCGAGTCGACTGTCTCTGTTTTAGGAAATAATTATATACGTTTTGGGTCCATTCGTTGATTCAGGGTTGATCTTATATGTTCTATACAGTCGTGGTCAAACGTTTTGAGAATGACACAAATATTAATTTTCACAAAGTCTGCTGCCTCAGTTTTTATGATGGAAATTTGCATATACTCCAGAATGTTATGAAGAGTGATCAGATTAATTGCAATTAATTGCAAAGTCCCTCTTTGCCATGAAAATGAACTTAATCCCCCAAAAACTTTTAGACTGCATTTCAGCCCTGCCACAAAAGGACCAGCTGACATCATGTCAGTGATTCTCTCGTTAACACAGGTGAGAGTGTTGACGAGGACAAGGCTGGAGAAGGTGAAAAGGTGAGCGCTACCATCAGTCCTGTGTCATGCCAACAGTAAAGCATCCTGAGACCATTCATGTGTGGGGTTGCTTCTCAACCAAGGGAGTGGGCTCACTCACAATTTTGCCTAAGAACACAGCCATGAATAAAGAATGGTACCAACACATCCTCCAAGAGCAACTTCTCCCAACCATCCAAGAACAGTTTGGTGACGACCAATGCCTTTTCCAGCATGATGGAGCACCTTGCCATAAGGCAAAGGTGATAACTAAGTGGCTCGGGGAAGAAAACATCGTAATTTTGGGTCCATGGCCAGGAAACTATCCAGACCTTAATCCCATTGAGAACTTGTGGTCAATCCTCAAGAGGCGGGTGGACAAACAAAAACCCACAAATTCTGACAAACTCCAAGCTTTGATTATGCAAGAATGGACTGCCATCAGTCAGGATATGGCCCAGAAGTTAATTGACAGCATGCCAGGGCGGATTGCAGAGGTCAACACTGCAAATATTGACTCTTTGCATAAACTTAATGTAATTGTCAATAAAAGCCTTTGACACTTATGGAATGCTTGTAATTATACTTCAGTATACCATAGTAACATCTGACAAAAATATCTAAAAACACTGAAGCAGCAAACTTTGTGAAGACTTTTGACCACAACTGTAGGTCCCACTTTATAAGAAGCGGGCAGACAGACAGATATACGTTTGTAATTATATACATGATTGAATACCATGTAACTAGGGTGGCAAAATTCCGGAAACTTTTCCAAAATTCCCCGGTTTACCTGAAATCCGGTTGGATGATTCCAGATTTCCTGCTTATTCCCTCCTGATTCCGGGATCTTCCAACCGGGATTTCTGGAAAACCTGGGAATTTTGGGAAAGTTTTGGGAATTTGTTACTTGAATGTACAGGACTACATTGCTGCACAACTACTTAGAGGGAACGTGAGTTTAATAGTTTATGCAATTACATTGTTATTACATGGTTATAACCTGTTATTACACTGTTATTACTTTGTTATTATCAGTGGTGTACTGGAGGGTAAACGCACCTAAACGCTGTTTGCGCAGCATTTTTTTCGCGAGCGTTTACCCACCTTTTGTGGGAAAATGCATTGAAAGTATAGGGAGCATTACTTTACTCACCGCGAACGGTGATCAGCGTTTACCCACCTATTTCTTTTACCACTACATCACTGGTTATTATGCTACTATTATCATTATCATTACACATTTTCACTTATCCTTAACACACACTCATTACCCAATTTGTAATAACTCAATACCCAATACTCTACCCATTATGGCAAGTGTAGAACGATTACATATCGTCACAGTGAGGGAGGGAGTGAGTGCAGTGCACTTACAGTGAGGAAGGGTGTGAGTGTAGTGCACTTACACTGAGGGTGCGAGTGTGGTGCACTCATCGTAAGGATGCAGAGAATCATATGTATAGATAGTGTGGCCTTTTCTGTTATGGACTACATAGGAGACGTCCGGCAACAAAACCTACACACACACACACACCCTACATGCAATGAATGCCATGAACACGATAAATAACTATTATTTTACGTTAATGATTTGCCAAAAGTCAGGTGGCATGTCCTGGTTGCAGTTTGATTGAACCCCACCGTCAATAAGATTAGGGCTCATGTCTAGGATGTACTGTACTGAGCTAGGATCAGCCCCCCCTCCCCGTCCCTTCCATGTAATGTTATTCATTATGATCAACCAGGCCAAAACTGATTCTAGATCAGCCAAGGAGATTTTTTGATTAAGTCACAAATGTGTGTTCAATTGCACCCCTGGTGTGTGATAATCAGTACTGCAGTCTTCTGCAGGTCTCTTGAATATACTGTAGATTCTGGAAAGAAAGTTTGATGCAGGTTGAAGTTTTCCCCTAATCACTGATAACAGGGTCAGATTGTTTTAATCAGTGTAATGGTAAATGTTATGATTGAGGGTAGGGTTATCTGATCCTAGATCTGTGGTTAAGGTATCTTCTACCTCAAATCTGCTAAGTTTATAATTGACCAATCTCTCAAACCTACCAGCATCCAACATTAGCCTCAATCATCAGAATTACCAATGTAGGGAGGAGTGGAAAGGGGAAGGGAGGAAAGATGGGAAACGCCAGGCAAGGGGGATGGGAGGTAGGGAAATTAATGGGGGAGAAATAATTATATTTTTGTCGTTGTAATAATCGCCAGAGATATGTGTACTTAAATGTTGCCATTATTTTTTTTAATTCTAAAGACATTTAATTTTTCATTATTAAAAAGTCATAAGTGATATGAACTAACCTTATGATAATTCCCTGCTGTATTCTCTCAACTGCTGTAAATATTATTACTGTTCTGTTCAACTCAACAGCCAATAGGAAGGAGTTCACTATAGATCACTGCAGTCCAATCAGAGCACAGTTTATAGGATAGTCAGTCAGACTCCCCAATCCAGGTTCTCCAGGACCTCTTAGTATGCTGGTGTTCACAGTTAAAATGGTGTAAATTAAACTTAAAACATTCTTCATCAATTGAATGTTGTTTCATAAATCCATGTTAAGGTCAATAAATAAGTTCACTTTTGAATTGTATAGGAAACCGGTATAACCAGGATATGGAGAGATAGAGTGAATCCCAAACCACCCCCTTGCCCCTACCAACTCGCTCGGAGAACCCTCCGTTGTCACGTGTTGCTGACGTAACTCCGAGGGTGACTTCTAGAGAGTGACGATGGGATCAATAGACCCATCAACTTTGGGACACACTCCTGACTTGAATGAATAATACGAGCATGAAATTATAATTAACAAATCCCCTCTGCCGTTTTACAAGATATAAACCTCAGTAACAGTTAAACATTTAATTTGGGAGGTACTTAATCTTTTACATGTGTCAAGTCTTGAAATCAGACAAACAAATGCACGTGGCATATAATTAGGCACGCCTCTACATTCCTTTGTATGAAATTGGTCAAACTCTAAACATATCGCAGTGCATGTCAGGATTGCACTTCGCTCTGAAGCCTGCAGCCTTGTTATCTGATAGTCTAATTAGCACTTATCACCCTTGATAATTTTCACTCCCTCAGCTTTGGGACACTTGTGCAAATGGTGGAGGCAAGTGTGAACGCGCAAATGGAGGGGCGATGGGAAGGGGATGATTTGGGATTCAACCATAGGCTACTGCTGTAGTATCTAGATTGTAGACACTTGATAGGATAGTACAGAGAAGTACATTGCAGTCAATTATGGGTATATGTGTGTCTATACTGGTGTGTAGGTGCAGAACAAAGGTAGATAAGGAGGATTGATTGATTGCAACTTGGCTCATTTATCAGATTGGAAATCACTGTGTTTGATCAGGTTATAGATTTATATAACATAAAAACATAAAAGGTGAAAAGTATCCACCTTATGTACAGTTCAGAAGGATAAGCTTCAACTACAGCAAACCAAGAGCTACAAATTACTAAGCCAGCAAATGCAATGTAACAACAATGATCACCTCTCATAAGATGTATTTTAATATCAGGGCAGAGGTGTGTTAAATTGATTTGATTGTAACTGTCGCCATTTTGGTTTAATGACAAGAATGTGTTTTTTTCTTAACAATGTGTTGCCTAATTCAACAACTTTCCATGGTTAACAAGAGTTATATTGGTCACGTTAACAAAACATTTGGTACATTGGTTGGTTTTTACACATTTGAACGCACCCAGATGATGATGATGGAGGTTGTACAATTATAGAAATAGAATTACTAGAACGGAAATCTGCATTCAAGTTAATGTTTTGCTTTTGTGTAAATATATTTCCAGCGGTGTGATGTCAGTCACAACACATTGGTTATGAAGTCCCACATTAAGGTTATAAAGGTTCATAAGAAGGTTATGAAGCTCATACTCTGTTCATGTTATGAATGGATTGACGCATGGCATGGTATTCTAACAATGTACTGTCTTGCAACAGTATGGAAAATGTTGTGATATTTGTGATATAGAACTTTTAGAACCTCCAGAAACTCTTTGGGACCATGTAAACGTTACAATTTTTTGGTAACTCTGTACCTTAATTGGCATCTTATGAAGCCTAATGAACATTCACAGCACTGTAGAAGCCATAGAGGTTTATTAAACTGTGTAATTAAGCAGTAAGGCCATTATATTGATAATATGTCACAGCTAAGGCCATGGGCCTCTTGTCTTGTTACTATATTATACAGTTACATGTGCAATGAATGTTTAATAAGGCAAATGACTTCATAAGAAACAGCTTTAGGTAGAAGTGTTACCAGCTTTTCCTTTTTTTTGTGTAAATCTGAATGCCGATTGTCCTCATGTCTATAAACCAGTGAAGTGTAGAAAAACTTAAAGTAGAAGTTCAGTATTTTACAATTTATCCATGGATTACAGTTTCTCCTGGCCCATAGACTACATTCAGGGTGAGGAACCATCTAAAATATTAAGTATTTTACTGAACTTCCCCTTTAAAAACAAATATTCTATTTTTGTTCCCTTCAATCTTAGTTGAGGTATCTATCCATGGAAACGCACGCAATCATGTCGATTTGTAGACTGTTGTGTATCGAGTCAGACTTATTTTATTTTAAGGACAATTTAAGCTACTACAAAAATGTAGATTCATAGAGAACTATACTTAAATGCTACCTGATACTTTATCTGTGAATTAATTAAATTAAGACAAAGTATATTGTTATCAAGAAAACCAAGATGCTGTAAAAGCAATATGTTATTTTAGTCAATAAAATGGAACAAAATGACAATGTAAAAGATTACAAAAACATTACAACATTGGAGAATATATGTCGCTTCTTTATTTTGTACTGCATTTTAGAAAATGTCAAATAAAAACTTGTCTGTTTATTTGTAAGTGTGTGTACCTTCTGTGTGTGTTTATTCAAGATACATGTATGCATGACACAAGCAGGAAAACGTAATGAAACACTAACTTTATTACAGAACATTGCCAGATACATTTGACTGATATCATACAAAAATAAAATACAAGTATTTCAGTCCCCACCTCTCTTCGGCAGGTGGTCCTAAAACACCATGGTGACAGCAAGCGATGGAAACATCCACCTACTGCGCTCTACCGAGTGCCGACCATGTGTGCTCTCTCAGGGTTGTGGATCCAGCATGACTTCGCAGGTGCGTCCCAGCTCTCCCAGTTTGACCCTGGCATATTCTGCTCGGTTCAAGGCCATCTGACAGTCTTTCCTGGCTGAGTATGTGGAGCCTTCGTGGGGCTGGCCTGTGGCAACCTACAAGGGACAGAGGGAGAAATGTTAGTGTTCAGTTAGGTGAATGTGGGCCGTTCTGGCTCGCACAAGGCTACACTACTAGGTGAATGTGAAACATGCATAACTTTGATGTAGAAAAATGTAGGCCACATGAGAGCTATATCTACACTACCAAGTTACACACAGTACCAGTCAAACGTTTGGACACACCTACTCAATCATGTTTTTTTCTTTATTTGTACTATTTTCTACATTGTAGAATAATAGTAAAGACATCAAAACTATGAAATAACATGTAGTAACCAAAAAAGTGTTTTAAAAAATCAAAATATATTTGAGATTCTTCAAATAGCCACCCTTTGCCTTGATGACAGCTTTGCACACTCTTGGCATTCTCTCAACCAGCTTCATTAGGTAGTCACCTGGAATGCATTTCATTTAACAGGTGTGTCTTGTTAAACGTTAATTTGTGGAAATTCTTTCCTTCTTAATGCGTTTGAGCCAATCAGATGTGTTGTGAAAAAGTAGGGGTGGTATACAGAAGATAGCCCTATTTGGTAAACGACCCAAGTCCATATTATGGCAAGAACAGCTCAAATAAGCAAAGGGAAACGACAGTCCATCATTACCTTTAGACATGAAGGTCAATCCGGAAAATTTTAAGAACTTTCTTCAAGTGCAGTGGCAAAAACCATCAAGCGCTATGATGAAACTGGCTGTCATGAGTACTGCCACAGGAAAGCAAGACCCAGAGTTACCTCTGCTGCAGAGGATAAGTTCATTAGATTTACCAGCCTCAGAAATTGCAGCCCAAATAAATGCTTCACAGAGTTCAAGTAACAGACATCTCAACATCAACTGTTCAGAGGAGACTGCGTGAATCAGGCCTTCATGGTCGAATTGCTGAAAAGAAACCACTACTAAAGGACACCAATAAGAAGAAGAGACCTGCTTGGGCCAAGAAACACGAGCAATGGACATTAGACCGGAGGAAATCTGATGAGTCCAAATTTGAGATTTTTGGTTCCAACCGTCGTGTCTTTTTGAGACACAGAGTAGGTGAACAGATGATTTCCGCATGTGTATTTCCCACCGTGAAGCATGGAGGAGGAGGTGTGATGGTGTGGGGTTATTTTGCTGGTGACACAGTCTGTGATTTATTTAGAATTCTAGGCACACTTAACCAGCATGGCTACCACAGCATTCTGCAGCGATACGCCATCCCATCTGGTTTGCGCTTAGTGGGACTATAATTTGTTTTTCAACAGGACAATGACCCAACACACCTCCACGCTGTGTAATGGCTATTTTACCAAGAAGGAGATTGATGGAGTGCTGCATCAGATGACCTGGCGTCCACAATCACCTGACCTCAACCCAATTGAGATGGTTTGGGATGAGTCGGACCGCAGAGTGAAGGAAAATAGCCAACAAGTGCTCAGCATATGTGGGAACTCCTTCAAGACTGTTGGAAAAGCATTCCAGGTGAAGCTGGTTGAGAGAATGCCAAGAGTGTGCAAAGCTATCATCAAGGCAAAGGGTGGCTACTTTGAAGAATCTAAAATATATTTTGATTCGTTTAACACTTTTTTGGTTACTACATGAGTCCATATGTACCATTTCATATTTTTGATGTCTTCACTATTATTCTACAATGTAGAAAATAGTACAAATAAAGTAAAACCCTTGAATGAGTAGGTGTGTCCAAACTTTTGACTGGTACTGTATATATATTTCAATTCACAGCATGGCACACTGTGTACGAGGGCATGCATGTGTGTCGATCTGTGTCTGTGTCTTCTTTCTCCTACCTGTGTGAGGTACTGATCTGGGACCGGAACTCAGTCTACTCTGACAGAGCTAGTGAATTTACTAAGCTGACTGTCTGTGCGTCTCTGTGTCCCCTCTTACCTGTGTGAGGTAGCGCATCTATGAGCTGAGCTCAGTCTCCACTCTGTTGACGGCCCCAGTAAACGTGCAACTGTGTCTTTCTGTGCGTGCATGCGTCTCTCTGTGTGCGTGTGTTACCTGTGTGAGGTATCTGATCTGTGAGCTGAGCTCAGTCTCCACTCTGTTGACGGATCCAGTAAACTGGCTGAGCTGTCTGTCCAGGAAACTGGCGTTGTGCTTGTCTTTAGACAGCTCCAACACAATGTTGCCTAGAGAAGATTAACAAAGAAAACAGAATTAGGCCTACAGCTTATGTAATGGCTTATAGAAACTGGCATTGCTTGTCTTAAACCACTACAGACATTGAGAAAATAGAGCGACAATGAATGCCCATTCTTTCTAGAGCTCTATTTCTATTATATAAATGTGTGGCTAGGTACAATTAGTTAGTTAGCTATGTAACGACACAGATACTATTGTTAGCTCTGGTCCAGGGTGAAAGCCCAGCGTTAGCAAGCCGCACTAACGCCCTGGTTCAGAGCTAATGTACAGTGCATTCGGAAAGTATTCAGACCCTTTCTCCACATTTTGTTATGTTACAGCCTTATTCTAAAATGTATTAAATTAAAACATTTCCTCATCAATCTACACACAATACCCCATAATGACAAAGCGAAAACAGTTTTGACATTTTTGCAAATGTATTAAATAAAAAACAAATACCTTTTTACATAAGCATTTAGACCCTTTGCTATGAGACTCGAAATTGAGCTCAGGTGCATGCTGTCTCCATTGATCATCCTTGAGATGTTTTTACAACTTGATTGGAGTCCACCTGTGGTACATTCAATTGATTGGACATGATTTGGAAAGGCACACACCTGTCTATTACAGTTGACAGTGCATGTCAGCGCAAAAACCAAGCCATGAGGTCGAAGGAATTGTCCGTAGAGCTCTGAGACAGGATTGTGTCAAGGCACAGATCTGGGGAAGGATACCAAAAAAGGTCTGCAGCATTAAAGGTCCCCAAGAACACAGTGGCCTCCATCATTCTTAAATGGAAGAAGTTTGGAAACAGCAAGACTCTTCCTAGAGCAAGCAGCCAGGCCAAACTGAGCAATCGGAGGAGAAGGGCCTTGGTCAGGGAGGTGACCAAAAACCTGATAGTCACTCTGACAGAGCTCCAGAGTTCCTCTGTAGAGAAGGAAGGGAGAACCTTCCAGAAGGACAACCATCTCTGCAGCACTCCACCAATCAGGCCTTTACGGTAGAGTGGCCAGTAAAAGGCACATGACAGCCCACTTGGAGTTTGCCAAAAGGCACCTAAAGGACTCTCAGACCATGAGAAACAAGATTCTCTGGTCTGATGAAACCAAGATTGAACTCTTTGGCCTGAATGCCAAGTGGCACGTCTGGAGGAAACCTGGCACCATCCCTACGGTGAAGCATGGTGGTGGCAGCATCATGTTGTGGGGATGTGGGCAGGGACTGGGAGACTAGTCAGGATCGAGGGAAAGATGAACAGAGCAAAGTACAGAGAGATCTTTGATGAAAACCTGCTCCAGAGGGCTCAGGACCTCAGACTGGGGCGAAGGTTCACCTTCCAACATGACAACAACCCTAAGCCCCCAGCCAAGACAACGCAGGAGTGGATTTGGGACAAGTCTCTGAATGTCCTTGAGTGGCCCAGCCAGAGCCTGGATTTGAACCCGATCGAACATCTCTGGAGAGACCTGAAAATAGCTGTGCAGCGACGCTCCCCATCCAACCTGACAGCGATTGAGAGGATTTGCAGAGAAGAATGGGAGAAACACCCCAAATACAGGTGTGCCCAGCTTGTAGCGTCATACCCAAGAAGACTTGAGGCTGTAATCGCTGCCAAAGGTGCTTCAACAAAGTACTGAGTAAAGGGTCTGAATACATGTAAATGTGACTCCACACTGCCCTTACCCACCTGGACAAAAGGAACACCTTTGTGAGAATGCTGTTCATTGACTACAGCTCAGCGTTCAACACCATAGTGCCCACAAAACTCATCACTAAGCTAAGGATCCTGGGACTAAACACCTCCCTCAGCAACAGGATACTGGACTTCCTGACGGGCTGCCCCCAGGTGGTAAGGGTAGGCAACAACACATCTGCCATGCTGATACTCAACACGGGGGCCCCTCAGGGGTGCGTGCTTAGTCCCCTCCTGTACTCCCTGTTCACCCACGACTGCGTGGCCAAACACGTCTCCAACACCATCATTAAGTTTGCTGACGACAACGGTGGTAGGCCTGATCACCGACAACGATGAGACAGCCTATAGGGAGGAGGTCAGAGACCTGGCAGTTTGGTGCCAGGACAACAACCTCTCCCTCAACGTGAGCAAGACAAAGGAGATGATCGTGGACTACAGGAAAAGGAGGGCCGAACACGCCCCCCTTCACATCGACAGGGCTGAAGTGGAGCGGGTCGAATGTTTCAAGTTCCTTGGTGTCTACATCACCAACAAACTATCATGGTCCAAACACACCAAGAATGTCGTGAAGAGGGCACGACAACGCCTTTTCCCCCTCAGGAGACTGAAAAGATTTAGCATGAGGAAGGCCCAAAAAATTGTCGAAGACTCCAGTCATAGACTGTTCTCTCTGCTACCGCACGGCAAGCGGTACCGGAGCGCCAAGTCTAGGTGCGCCAAGGCTCCTTAACAGCTTCTACCCCCAAGCCATAAGACTGATGAACAATTAATGTAATGGCCACCTGGACTATTTGCTGCTATACTATTTGCTGCTACTTGCTGTTTATTATCTATGCATAGTCACTTTACCCCTACCTACATGTACAAATTACCTTGACTAACCTGTACCCCTGCACATTGACTGGGTACCGGTACCCCTTGTATATAGCCTCATTATTGTTATTTTGTGTTACTTTTATTTTTTAAAAAATTATTTAGTAAATATTTTCTTAACTATTTTCTTAAAACTGCCTTGTTGGTTAAGGACTTGTAAGTAAGCATTTCACCTGTTGTATTCGGCGCATGTGACATAACATTTGATTTATTTCCGTTTTTTGCTTTGTCATTATGGGGTATTGTGTGTAGATTGATGAGGGGGAAAAATACAATTTAATCCATTTTAGAATAAGGCTGTAATGTAACAAAATGTGGAAAAGGGCAAGAGGTCTGAATAATTTCCGAATGCACTGTATATCTAACTAGCTAGGTATGCGTTTGTTATTACAATGTATTTGAACTGTTGTTGATGAATGCATGGGTAGACTAACCAGCGCACTGCAGAATCGTTGCAATTTGATTCTCCACCTCTTCCAAAGCTCGCAGTCGGTCATTCGCCATCAGGATCAATTTCACTCACTGGGAGTAATAAAAAAATAGACAAACGAATCTTACCAGAAGCGGCTACGGCACACTATCGTAGCAAACAGGTTGTTAATTCAATACATTAATCCAAAATGCAGCCCAACTCCTGCATAATGCACAAAAAAAACACTACAGAAAGCGAACATCAACAAAACAAAAACCTTTCCGAGTAAGGGCGCATATAATTGACGTCAACATCTTCATTGCCTAAATACTTCCGTCGCATAATTCAGACGTTTTAGCGTGGCGGAGTGGGAAGATGGCTGCAACAGCGGCTTGGATGCATGGCCCCTCCAATATGCGGCTAACCGAGGGTTTCGTGTCTGTTCTGAAAGAGCAGCGGCCCGAATATTTACCTGCACTTTTAGCGAATTACCGGGAGCATGGCGTGTTCTCGACTCAGGTAAAATTGGCCAGCTATTCTTGGAATTGGCCACGCATGGCATCCCGTCTGCGCTCCAGTCCGTAGCATGTCTCAATTCAATCGACTCGTGCTAGTCTTTGTTTTTCCCTTGCTGTATGCTATTGTGTCATATATCTTGCTACATAGCCAACTCTAATGTCGTTTTGCTTCTAAAGTTTGTATAACAGTGTTGATCGCCAGGTTGCTGTCACTTACTTCTCGCTCCTATCCCCCAGAGTACCGGAGCTGTCGGTGGTCTCGTGGGACTCAGCAACGCCAAACTCGGCAACAGCAAAACCAAGTTCGAGGGTCTGTGCCTTCTCTCCGTGCTGGTCAAAGACAGTTCTAGTGATGTGTTCCAACAACACTGTCTCTCATGGCTACGGTCCCTACAACAGGTCATACAGGTAAGACACTGTATGAAGACACCTGTAGACCAGTGCTTGACTTGGGAAGGAGCTCAGGAAGAGTACCACCACCTCAAATGTTCTACTGCTTGAGCTCCTGTGTCTCTTATAGAATATTAGCTCAAAAATTGAGTACCGACACCTATTTCAGTCCAAGTCAAGCACTGCTGTAGACTTTCACGATAAACACACACACACACCAGAGATACAAGAACTGGAGACGCATCTGTCCAAAACATTCACTGTGAGACAAATCCAAGACACACACCTGTACAGCAAAACACATAACCCAGAGAGAGACACACATTTTATGAATTTGCTTAATGAAATGTGGATGGGGACATCAAAGAACTGGGCTAAATCTCTTAACATGTCTTATTTAAAAAATCTACTTAAGCTAATTCAAACTCTTTTTTCCTATATCCCACAGTCCCAGGCCCCTCTCCCTTCCATCCAGCTAGCAGTGGGTGTCCTCCAGGACCTGCTCCAGTATTCCTCCCAGCTACCTGAGCTGGCCAGGGAGGTGGGCCTCAACTCTGTCCTGGGGATCCTCACCTCCCTGCTAGGCCTCAAGTCTGAGGTAAATTAGGGCTGGGGAATAGCTTGTAGTAGATAACTATGTAAGATGGAGGATACTAAAGCAAAAAGGTGGCAGTGAAATACTAGTGATTCATTCTCTGTACTTTGTATTGAGGACTACTAGAGCAGAATTCAGGCAATTGCTTTTATTTATTTTGTTGGATCTAATCGATATTAGCTGACTGCAAACAGAACATTTATCAATAGATCAATTTGTGGATTGTAGCATACAGTGTGGTTGTAAAGTAACAGTGTGTGTATGTTTAGTGTCACCTAGCTGCCATGGAGGGGATGACCGCATGTATGACCTTCTATCCTCGAGCCTGTGGCTCCCTGAGGGTGAGTATTAGAACATACTCATTTACTATATTACAAATACGATACTCTTTTAGTACATCATATTTGGGAGACATTGTGTTGTTGTTATGGATGTTGTTGTTTTATCTCTGTCTGACTATTTGTCTTCAACAGGACAAACTGGGTGCCTATTTCTTATCCAAAATGGACAGTGCCAACCCAAAAGTACAAGAGGTTTGTCTTCAGTTTATTTGTGACCCACCACCTGGATTCGGTCCTATGTAGCAAAATTTGAAATTGTGTTTTTTACATTGGATAAAAGTAGAGACTCCGATCTTGAAAATTGTATATCGTACACTGCAGTTGAGCAACAATGGGAAAGTAATTCTGCTTTGAAAGTTGATAAACTTGTAACCCCACTTTTGAGAAAATGGCCCGTGAATATTTTCGTACACGTACTGGAGAGCTCTTCTTTGTCTACAGCCATTCAGCATCCTTCACACCCTCTTAAGCCTTAGCCCCACCCATCTCTTTAAGGATTCACAGTGTAGTAAACAACCACATATTTCAAGACTAAATGTGGTGAAAGTAGTAGCAAAAATACACTATCTAGTCCTTGGCCTATATCCTAATCTGATTTTGGTGCAGGTCATGTTGTTCTTCACATTACCGTTTCTGGTAAACACACTATATCAAATAAAACAAAGTTTATTTGTCACATGCACAGGATACAGAAGGTGTAAACGGTACAGTGAACTGGTTACTTGCATAGTGGAGTCTTTGGTTTAGACATGTAGCTAGCTAAACAATTAACCATAATCCCAACTCTAATGCCGCGTTCAAAACAACTGGGAAGTCAGGGGGGAAAATTAACTCTGACTGGGGAAAAATCGATTTGAACGGTCATCCAACTCGGAATTCCAACTCGGGCCTCTTTCTAGAGCTCCGACCGGAACATCACTGATGTCATGCTTTGACCTCGTACTTTTCAGAATTCCCAGTTTTGAACGTGGCAATACTACCATGCATGAATCTGCAGGTAGCTAAAGCTAACCAACTAGGTTCAATGTTAGCTAGCTGGCTAACATTAGGCTATAACTAGCAATGCAAATGAATTTCTGAGATACTAATAATATTACTACACCAATCATACACGTAACATTAGCTAGCGAGCCAGCCAGCTAACATTAGCTAGCTAGCTAACAGCACTCTTTAACTTGCAATGAAAATGACTTTCTGACAAAATTAGAAACTAATAATATCTGAAAATGTAGCTATACTCTTACCCATATACATGGATGAACGCTTCTCTCTCTGTCACGGATGCCATGGTTGCCCTTAGTTTGAAGATGTAATCCGGAGACGTGTTTTATACAACAGCCTTTTTTCTGTGCTCTTTTTGGACTCTCCACATTTGGCAATCCTCTTTCTGCTTCCACCAGGCATTCCACTGATTTCAAAACTCGGTCAATTTCTTCAGTGACAACGACACCGTTTCTTCCCCACCATTGTCATCAGAAGACTCTACAATGTCTGGTTCAATGAAAATGTTTTAACCTAAATCAAGGATTTCGTCATTCTGATTAATTTTCTGAGTCAGCATGGCACTATCATCCTCCAGAAAGTAGTCCATCATAACTGTTTCCCACTGAGCTTTGTCGATAGCGCTATTAACCTCTACTTTGATCGTGTGTCCCGTATACAGGACGATTGAGCTAATGTGTGCTAATGTGATTAGCATGACTGTTGTAAGTAACAGCAAACTTTTCAGGACATAGACATGTCTTATATGGGCAGAAAGCTTAAATTCTTGTTAATCTAACTGCACTGTCCAATTTACAGTAGCTATTACAATGAAAAAATTCCATGCTATTGTTTGAGGAGAGTGCACAAAAGCAAAAAAACGTATCACGGCAACTGGTTTGATACATTCACCTCTGAAGGTAAATAATATACTTACATTCAGTAATCTTGCTCTGATTTGTCATCCTAAGGGTCCCAGAGTTAAAATGTAGCATAGTTTTGTTTGATAAAATCAATTTTTATATTCAAATGTAGGAACTGGGTTCTACAGTTTGAACCCCTGATGTCTCTGGCTCCACACCCACCCCGCCCGGCCATATAGTCTGCGTTTATTTTCAGCAAACTTAACGTGTAAATATTTGTATGAACATAAAAAACTCAACAACTGAGATATAAACTGAGCAAGTTCCACAGACGTGACTAACATAAATGGAATAATGTGTCCCTGAACAAAGGGGGGGTCAAAATCAAAAGTAACAGTCAGTATCTGGTGTGGCCACCAGCTGCATTAAGTACTGCAGTGCATCTCCTCCTCATTGACTGCACCTGATTTGCCAGTTCTTGCTGTGAGATGTTACCCCACTCTTCCACCAAGGCACCTGCAAGTTCCCGGACATTTCTGGGGGGAATGGCCCTAGCCCTCACCCTCTGATCCAACAGGTCCCAGACGTGCTCAATGGGATTGAGATCCGGGCTCTTCGCTGGCCATGGCAGAACACTGACATTCCTGTCTTGCAGGAAATCACGCACAGAACGAGCAGTATGGCTGGTGGCATTGTCATGCTGGAGGGTCATGTCAGGATGAGTCTGCAGGAAGGGTAACACATGAGGGAGGAGGATGTCTTCCCTGTAACGCACAGCGTTGAGGTTGCCTGCAATGACAACAAGCTCAGTCCGATGATGCTGTGACACACCGCCCCAGACCATGACGAACCCTCCACCTTCAAATCGATCCCGCTCCAGAGTACAGGCCTCGGTGTAACGCTCATTCCTTCGACGATTAACGCGAATCTGACCATCATCCATGGTGAGACAAAACCGCAACACATCAGTGAAGAGCACTTTTTGCCAGTCCTGTCTGCTCCAGCGATGGTGGGTTTGTGCCCATAGGCGACGTTGTTGCCGGTGATGTCTGGTGAGGACCTGCCTTACAACAGGCCTACAAGCCCTCAGTCCAGCCTCTCTCAGCCTATTGCGGACAGTCTGAGCACTGATGGAGATTTTGTGCGTTCCTGGTGTAACTCGGGCAGTTGTTGTTGCCATCCTGTACCTGTCCCGCAGGTGTGATGTTCGTATGTTCGTATGATCCTGTGCAGGTGTTGTTACACGTGGTCTGCCACTGCGAGGACGATCAGCTGTCCGTCCTGTCTCCCTGTAGCGCTGTCTTAGGCGTCTCACAGTACAGACATTGCAATTTATTGCCCTGGCCACATCTGCAGAACTCATGCCTCCTTGTAGCATGCCTAAGGCACGTTCATGCAGATGAGCAGGGACCCTGAGCATCTTTCTTTTGGTGTTTTTCAGAGGCAGTAGAAATGCCTCTTTAGTGTCCTAAGTTTTCATAACTGTGACCTTAATTGCCTACCGTCTGTAAACTGTTAGTGTCTTAACGACCGTTCCACAGGTGCATGTTCATTAATTGTTTATGGTTCATTGAACAAGCATGGGAAACAGTGTTTAAACCCTTTACAATGAAGATCTGTGAAGTTATTTGGTCCTGAAAAAGGGACGTTCATGGTATAAAAGTTTGTTATTAAGGCACATGTTCCAGAAGGCATTTCTGCCAAAAAAACGCACAAAATAAAAAACGTTCAAATGCCTCTTCTGTGAAGTAGTGACATGCCTAGTTTCTTGAAACGGGTCACAGTTTCTTCCATGTCAAATCTATCTCTATTTGTATGCTTTATTTATACAAACCTCATGTTTGTCAACTCCTTCACTTTTCTCCTCCATCTCTCTCTTCCATCTCCATCTCCAGGTAGCATGTGAGTGTTATGGTCGTCTGCCCTGTCTGGGCGGAGTCGTGGAGAGAGGGGGTGGCGGGCGCAGAGCCGAGGGATGGACCAGTCAGCTTCACTGCCTGCTGGCCTCGGCCAATAGCATACTGGCACAACTCTACCAGGGCTCTGAATCAGGTAAAGAATGCTTTTTCTTTCATAAAGTTTGAGTATGAGCGCTGATCTAGGATCAGTATAGCCGTATAGATCATAATGAATAAGATTACATGGTCAGGGGAGACCTGATCCTAGATCAGCACTTCTACTCTGAGATGCTTTCATGAATGATAAAAACATGAAAATAGTCTTCTGGGTTTTACAACCAGAATGATGCTTATCTACTAGGGATGTAATGAGTCACCGATACGCATCGGAATCCGGTTCAAATGTTTTAAGATACGAGTGCACCGGTCCGCGGGAGCCCAAACCGATCCAAATGTAGCATGAATCGGTCAGAAAATCAATTCAAACGTTTACGAACCGCCGATTTCACTAACGGCTTTTACTCATATAATGTTATTTCCCCCATTCGAAAATACCTCTAATCTTTTGTGACTGAATTGATGCGTCCTCTCCTTCAGTAGCCTATCGAACTAAGCATGTAAATGTGTATGACAGTCACTGATCTCCAAGCCAGATAACAACTGTGTGTGGGTACAGAGCGCAGCTGCTCGTGCCAGAGGTAGGCCTACCTCTGATCTTATATTCAAACATCTGCGTGGCACCTTCAGCATTCAAATGCTTGTAAAATGGCTTTTGCAATGTCAAATTATATGGTTTATTAGTTGGGTGACAAGCATTGTAATTTGCTGGGTCATTGTTACCAAATACGATGTAGAAAATTGTGTTTTCCCGGCGGAGTTGTGTAGACTACCGGAGTGGACACAACTTACATGTTGCTGATTGCACATCTAATTACTGCGACTCGCTGTTGGCTGGGCTCCCTGCCTGTGCCATTAAACCCCTACAACTCATCCAGAACGCCGCAGCCCGTCTGGTGTTCAACCTTCCCAAGTTCTCTCACGTCACCCCGCTCCTCCGCACACTCCACTGGCTTCCAGTTGAAGCTCGCATCTGCTACAAAACCATGGTGCTTGCCTACGGAGTTGTGAGGGGAACGTCACCTCCGTACCTTCAGGCTCTGATCAGTCCCTACACCCAAACGAGGGCATTGCGTTCATTCACCTCTGGCCTGCTGGCTCCCCTACCTCGGCGGAAGCACAGTTCCCGCTCAGCCCAGTCAAAACTGTTCGCTGCTCTGGCACCTCAATGGTGGAACAAGCTCCCTCACAACGCCAGGACAGCGGAGTCACTCACCACCTTCCGGAGACACTTGAAACCCCACCTCTTTAAGGAATACCTGGGATAGGATAAAGTAATCCTTCTACCCCCCCTTACCCCACCCCCCCCCCAAAAAAAAAAATTTGTAAAGTGGTTGTCCCACTGGCTATCATAAGGTGAATGCACCAATTTGTAAGTCGCTCTGGATAAGAGCGTCTGCTAAATGACAAATGTAAATCTAACTGCTGATTGGGTCTTTTTGATTGCCAGGTTTGACCATAAGAAATAGTTTTGGTAGTTTTGCTTGAAACAGTCAGTGCATTTGGTCATTTTTACAGGAAAGGTTAAAGTTGTAATTTCATAACAAGGACAGCAATCATTTTTGCGAGCCGCACTGTATGGTCAGAGTGGAGAAGAGCATCTCTTCTCCGTAAAGTTCCAAATGGTCAAAAACCATTTGTTTTTGAGACGGGGTGAAATACAAAGCTGTGTTATATTAATTGGCTATGTCATAGTTAATTTCTAAAGATAAATATTGACATATTACTATAATTAAAAAAAACTGTTAAAATGACAAGTTAATCAGTGGGTGATGGGGATTTCAGATAAAACATTGGGGGACAAAAATTATAAATTGCCCTCCACCCCTAATCTGGATGCTCAGTCTGTCCTATGACTCTGCTCAGGTGCCTACACACACCATATACATAATTTTCTCTCACACACACACACAAACAGAGGCCCAATCAGCTCAGAGTGGCCCAGGTCCTTAGCTCTATTTGCCTGTGTTCATGCAAGAAATGTATCGATTTGTTCCTCTAATCAAACAGAATCGCACCGAATCGTTTCAAACTTAAAGTATTGTTCCTGTATCAGTATCAGAGCCCATGTATCTGGATTGTGCTTGAAAGGAACTATTCACATCCCTATTATCTAGTGAGTCATGCCTCTTTCCCTACTGTGTGTTCTGCCCTCTTCTGGTTCAGAAGGGACAGTGCAGTATGAAGGGCCAGGTGTAGAGCTGCCCTACCCTCCTCTGGACGACACAGACCCCCTCCTCCTGCTGCAGCTACAACACAGATACAGAGCTGCCTGTCTGGGTCTCAAACACACACTCAGGTAGGTACACACACACACACACACACATCGGAAGCTTTTACTAACTACCCAAATTAAAATTGTTCATGTGTCTCTCTACTCTTCTGTTTCTCTCTCTGTTCCTCTATCTCTCTCTCTCTGTTTCTCTCTCTCTCTGTTTCTCTCTCTCTCTCTCTTCTCTCTCTCTCTCTGTTTCTCTCTCTGTTTCTCTCTCTCTCTCTGTTTCTCTCTCTGTTTCTCTCTCTCTCTCTGTTTCTCTCTCTCTCTCTGTTCTCTCTCTCTCTCTCTTCTCTCTCTCTCTCTCTCTCTCTCTCTCTCTCTCTCTCTCTCTCTGTTTCTCTGTGTTTCTCTCTCTCTGTCTCTGTGTGTTTCTCACTCTCTCTCTGTGTTTCTCTCTCTCTCTCTCTCTGTCTCTCTCTCTCTCTGTCTCTCTCTCTCTCTGTTTCTCTCTCTCTCTGTTTCTCTCTTTCTCTGTTTCTCACTCTCTCTTTCTCTGTTTCTCACTCACTCACTTACTCACTCACAGTGTGGACCCGGCCTCTGCAGTGCGTCTACCTGTACAGCAGGTGCTCAACCTGGTCTGTCGCGCCCTGGCGGTCAGCTCCAAGAGCATAGTGAGTGCCTCCTCTCTCTCTCACACACAAACACCACTGTTTTGTCAACCACCCCCCAAAAAAAGAATACATTCAACCACCAAAAATGCAGTAGGTACATGAGTATCTTTAGTGTATCGTTAACATGCTTCTCTTTATCAACAGAATTTAACAGGTGATGGGTGTGTGAGGCTGCTGGTGTTGCCTGCCATACACAAAGATACTCTACAGGTGCTGCACGCTCTCATCACAGCGTAAGTACCTACTGAATGCAACCCAGTTGCTAGCCTGGTCCCAGATCTGTTTGCGCTCACGCAACTCCATTGCTGTCATTGTCTAGTCAAACAATGAGTCACAAGGAGTTGGCATGACCGCAAACAGATCTGAGACCAGGCAAAAGTCTAAATGAAATAGGTGTTTTAATAATTAGTGGACTGATGGACTTTAATTCTTCTCCGTTCTCTCCTGTCTCAGTTTAGGCAGTGGGTTGGTGCTGTACTCCAGTGTGCTACAGAGACTGTTCTCTCAGACCCTGTCTGCCTGGACCCCTCTACCTGAAACCAGCCTGGGACAACAGAGAGCATTCAGGTATCACACACACCCTGCACGCTACGCATGCATACAAACCACAGGAGGTTGGTGGCACCTTAATTGGGGAGGACGGGCTCGTGGTAATGGCTGGAGCGGAATTAGTGGAATGGTATCAAATACATCAAACACATAGTTTGATTCCATCCGCTCCGTTCCAGCCATTATTATGAGCCGTCCTCCCCTCAGCAGCCTCCACTGATACAAACACACACGCTACACAAGACTCCAAACCTCTTCATTTGTATTCATATGTTTATAATCTGTCTCTCCTTTGACCCATAGTGCAGTGCGAGTGTCCGTGTATCGTACCTTAGAACTCTGGGTAAGAGTGGGAGGAGCCTCAGCCGGTGTCTTGCAGGGAAGCCCCACACATTCCGAGCTCCTATTGGCCCACCTGCTGGGAGACATCACACCAGGGGCGGACTCTGTTAGGGTGAGAGGATCTGATTGGTATATTGCCAACGAGAAAGCTTAGGATGGTCACTACTATGGCTATGTAGTGCACAATTTCTGGTCAAAAAGTGTTGGTCAATAGTAGTGCACTACATAGGGAATAGGGTGCCATTACCCGTTATTTACTCACGCTCCACTTAAGTGTAACGCCATCCCCCTCTCGTCTTCTTCTTCCCCTCTCTAGCCCTCTACCTCTCCTCAGCTCCGTGATCTGGTTTCCAGCAAGCCCTGCCCTAAAAGTCGGAAGCCCGGATTGGCTATGGGCGACGGGGGCGGAGCCTCTCTCCAGAGGAAAGGAGACTCGCTGGCCAATCAGGACACCTGCCTGTCTGCACTCAGAGGTGAGGGGGTGGGGTGTATCTAGTTTGTTGACATTTGGTGATTATTGGAGACGTGCGTAAACAAAACCAAACATTTTTGAGTCATGTTGCCAACGAATGACCAATCCCTTTAATAGTGTATTTTTAACATTACAATCAATCACAGGTCAATGATATCTTCACTAGCTGTGTTGTGATGAGAGTATAGTAATACAACATATGACCGTCTCTCTCTTTGCAGCATTGAGACAGGTCATACTGACCAGTGGATCTCTCCTGAAGGAAGATATACACAAGGTCAGTTGTGTGTGTGTTGTGTTATTACAAACATTCCCCATAGTGTGTGTATGTACAGTCAGGTCCAAAATTATTGGCACCCTTGATAAAGATGAGCAAAAAAGACTGTATAAAATAAATAATACAAATACTGAGCTATTAACCACTCCTATGTAAATGGTAGATTATCAGACACTCAAGAAGAAGGTCTGATTTCATTATTACTGAAACAGGATACAAGTGGGAAATATAAAGATCCAGTCCATTTAAAAAATTTGAGGCCCCTTACACTTCAGTGTTGTGATGCAAACATTCTAGCAAAATGTATAGCGCATAGAATTAAAAAGGTATTGTCATGGACGTTACATTGGAGATAATATAAGGCAAGTACTGGAAACAATACACACTATATTCATAGCTCACTTTGAAAAGGCTTTTGATAAAATATGACTTGAGTTTATATATAAATGCCTGGAGTATTTCAATTTTGGAGAGTCTTTTATATAATGGGTTAAAATCATGTATAGTAACCCTGGGTGTAAAATAGTAAATAATGGCTATTTCTCAGAAAGTTTTAAACTGTCAAGAGGAGTAAAACAACGTTTGTCCACTATCGGCATATCTATTAATTATGGCCATCAAAATGTTAGCTATTAAAATCAGATCCAACAATAATATCAAGGGATTAGAAATCCAGGGCTTAAAAACAAAGGTGTCATTGTACGCTGATGTTTTCTTTTAAATCCACAACTTGAATCCCTCCACAGCCTCATAGAGGATCTAGATATATTTTCTAACCACTCAAGGTTACAACCAAATTATGATAAATGTACTATATTACGTATTGGATCACAAAAAAATACAATTATTACATTACCTTGTAGTTTACCAATAAAATGGTCTGATGGTGATGTGGATATACTTGGTATACATATCTGTTACGTGAATTATTTAACAAACTATTTTAGTGTCTCTGTGCGTCTCCCAAAAGGTTGTAAGTATTTTGGGATTTAAGTAACGGCCAGAGTCCCGGTCTGCATAGTCAGAGAAATGTATTCATTGAGAATTCTGCCATCACAATTTCAGAGTCCATCTTTTATACTCATACGTCATACAAAAAGAAATCCCTCCCCTCTGTAGGCGGGCTGTAGTTTTCCACTCTAAAACTGCTCTACTGACCTTCAGTTCACACACACACACATATACACACATAAATACACACATACATACACACACACATATCCTACTCCCTGCATTACTCAGTTATTGCCGTTCTCACAATATTCTGCACCATGTTTTCATAACAGTTTCTCCCCTCCCTAAATTGGGAGGCCTCTTTATCTTAGTTTCTCAGTTGTCTTTGTTGTCTGGCCTAACTCTTACTCACATTGCTAAATAGTGGCTCAATGCCATAGCCTTTACTGGTCCTACACTCACACATTTCTAACACATTATACACAGTTTCAGGGTGTAATAATTAGTCATTAATAATTAATCTATCAATATCCCAAAATAAATAAATGATCTCACTCCAATAAATGTTAATAGAAAGTTAGCAAAAATAGATAAGATCTTGCTACCATGGAAAGGTGGGTGCCTGTCAATTTGTGGAAAAATCACCCAGTTTACCTATTTGCTTATGGTCTTGCCTACACCTAGCGAACAGTTTTTTAAATGATATGAGAAAAAAAGATTCAATTTTATTTGGAACGGCAAGCCAGACAAAATGAAACGGGCCTATTTATATAATTAATATGAATTCAGAGGACAGAAATTATTAAATATTAACGCATTAGACCTATCACTAAAATCTTCAGTCATACAAAAGTTATACTTAAATCCGAACTGGTTCTTTAGTAAATTAGTAAGATTGTCTCACCCCATGTTCAAGAATGGCCCTTTTCCCTTTATTCAGATTACAACCTCTCACTTTCAGTTATTTGAAAAGGAAATCATCTCCCAAATATCACTATTTCTAAAACAAGCCATAGAAAGTTGGTTGCAATTTCAATTTAATCCTCCAGAAACGACAGAACAAATACTGCAACAAATATTGTGGTTAAACTCAAATATACTAATTGATAAAAACCATTATTTTTGGAATAAAAAGTTATAATCTTCGTAAATTATATCATAGCTAGGACCGGTGGAGTTATGTCGCACATGCAGCTAACAAAAACATATGGAAATGTCTGCTCTATCCAACCAAATATTTGCAGCATTACCACAAAAATGGAAGGGGGGAAAAGTAAGGAACTTGTCTGTAGGCCCTGCATTAAAGACCATAATTGGTTAAAGAAAATTGTGATAAATAAAAAAGTATACCAGTTTCATTTAAGGACCAAAGGATTGACAGCCGTCCCATATAGATTGCAAAATAGTTGGGAAGAGATTTCTGACGTACCGATTCCATGGCAAATGGTTTATGAACTGATACGCAAAACGACGCCGGATTCAAAACTTAGAATTTTTCAATTTAGGAGGGCGCTAGAGAGCGTGCTATGGAGTAGACGTGCATTGCTAGAGCTCCGCTCAATTTTGAAACAAATTCATATTTATCTTAACCTCTCACAACCTATAACTTCAAACAAATATGACAAAGGGAAAAGGCAACAAAAAAGGGGGCGCTAAACAAGATAATTGGAATGAGATAGACAACGAACCAATTTCAACGTCGCCGACCCACGAGGAGCTAGCTGAAGAGGCTAGCTTCCAAGAGCTCCCCACAGATCCTACTCAAAGTGACATACTGGCTGCCATAAACGCACTAAGCAAGAAGGTGGACACAAGGTTGGCTGATATCTCAAAGAGTATTGGGACTTTGGCCGAAACTGTGAAGGCAACTAAGGGAAGGGTGCACGAGGTTGAGCAGACGACAATCGATCACGAGGCCAGGCTACAGGACATAGAGAAACAGTGCGCAACGCTCAAAAATGACAACAAAACCCTGAAGGCCCGACTGGAAATGCTCGAGTCGCATTCAAGACGCCAGAACATCCGAATATGTGGGATCCAGGAGGACACGGAGAAAGGGAAACCCACTGAATTTGTCTCGGAGCTGATACCGGCATTGCTGGGGAGTGATCACTTCAAAACGGCCATCCTGATCGACCGCGCACACAGAGCACAGGCAACGAAGCCGGCCAAGGGCGGGCCACCAAGGCCATTCATTGTAAGGCTGCACTATCCCCACACCAGGGATCTCATCCTCAAGCTGGCTAGTCAAAAGTTCCCCCTTAACTACAACGGAGCCAGGGTGTCTTTCTATCCAGATCTTACCCTGGAGGTGAGGAACCAACGGAAAGAGTATGATGAGGTACGCAACAAATGCAGGGCGGCCAACATCCGATATGGATTCCTCTTCCCAGCCCGGTTTAAGGTGACAGTCGAGGGATCAACACGTACGTTTGACAACGCAAAAGAGGCAGATCTGTTCTTGACAAGCAAGCTCCCCGACTGAGGATACAGAACGGCTGTGCCAGCAGGCTAAATGGCCAAATACAGGCCAGGATTGTGTGTGAATTGAATTTCCGGCCTATGTCTTTTCGATCAGAAGATCAGAAATTGGGACTTATAGGATAGGTGAGATGTTGTGGCTAATATAGCATTGTTTGGCATGTCATGTTTTAGCGCCACTCACCCCCTAACATGAGAGTTAAGTTAAGTGTTATTCAATATTAGTTTATATGCGGAGCATCTATAGACGACGAGTTAGTTCAAGCTTTATGTCTAGACACCCTAACGTTTGTGTGTTAGCCAAGGAGTGCTTCGTTTGGGGAAGTCACTCAGTAAAGGGACGGGAGGGGGGTTGGGGTCTGTGTTTTATGTTCACGTTTATTAGTACAGGTGGCATGACAAGCTCCCGCACGGCGGGACGTTTTTCTTCTGGGTTTTGCATGACAGCAGCAATTTGCTTTAAAATAAGAAATGCCACATAGTGACCGAGCACAGAGTAGACCAGGTGGAATAAAGATAGTCAGCTGGAACTGTAATGGATTAGGGCATGTCGTGAAACGAGCTAAGGTTTTTTCTCATCTTAAATCACTGGGTGCTGACATAGTGCTTCTTCAAGAAACTCATATTAAACGCTCCGCGCAGGCCAAGCTACGAGTCGGCTGGATCGGTCAGATATACCAGTCTAACTTTGATGCAAAAGCGAGAGGGGTAGCAATCCTGATAAGGAAAAACATTCCTTTTGTTTACTCAACCTCGATTTCAGATCCTAATGGTCGGTATATTATTGTGGCTGGTACACTGAATTCAAAACCAATAACCTTGGTCAATTTATATGGACCCAACTTCGATGATCCAGTATTTTTTCAAAGGGTATTTAAGGCCATACCAAATATCTCGGATACAGGTGTTATTGTTGGAGGTGACTTTAACTGTACGTTAGACCCTCTTTTAGATAAACAGCTATCAAGGTCACTTCAACAATCAAATGCCAGTGTCTGTCTAAATACATTGATGACAAACCTTAACATTGTCGATATTTGGAGACTGACGCACCCAACAGACAGGGATTATTCTTTCTTCTCATCAGTTCATAAATCATATTCCAGAATTGACTATTTTTTGTTGGACTCCAAACTAATCTCAGCAGCTGAGTCGGTTACCTATCACCCCATTCTAATTACGGACCACTCTCCTCTGTCCATGGTGCTGAAACTCGACAATATGTCGACAGGTCGGCGACCGTGGCGCTTAGACGCATACCTGTTGAAAGATGAGGCTTTTTGTCAGTATTTGGAGGAGCAGATTGCCTTTTTCCTCAGTACTAACGACACGGGGATGTTGACGACTCCACCCTTTGGGAATCTCTAAAGGCTGTGATTAGAGGTTACATTATTTCTTATACATCAGAGAGGAAGAAACGTGCCAATACTAGGCTGAGAGAAATTGAAAGAGAGTTAGGGGAACAGGAGAACGTTTTTAGGACAAATTCCTCGTATACAGTCCTTGAGAAGATCACAAAGTTAAAGTATGAATACAATACCATCCTTTCGAAACGGGTGGGCTCTTTACTTGCTAGGACGCAACAAAGTTATTTTGAACTGGGGGACAAACCACATAAATTATTAGCAAGACAGCTAAGGCATGTACAAGCATCTAGAGCTATTCACAAAATAAAAGACAAGAAGGGTAAAATAGTAACAGATCCACAGGACATTAATAAATGCTTTGCACAGTTTTACTCAGAGCTATACCAATCAAAATGCGATGCTACTGATCCACAAACTATGGAACGCTTTCTCGCTGATTGTGAACTTCCTAAACTAGACGGGGGGGCAGCTGCCGCACTCGATGCAGGGATAACCTTAGATGAAATTAACACAGCGATAGCACAATTTCCAAACAGCAAGACCCCTGGGCCCGATGGATATGTAATAGAATTCTATAAGAAGTACTGCGCTAGTCTATCTCCACTTATGCTGCGAATGTTTCAACAATCCAAAGAAAATACCAAACTCCCGCAAACACTGTATGAGGCTACAATAGCCCTGATCTTGAAAAAAGATAGAGATTCCATGGAGATGTCGTCGTATCGCCCCGTGTCGTTACTCCCCATAGAAAACAAGGTGTTGACAAAGATATTGGCAAACCGATTGAAAAAATATATTTCCGACATCATACACCCTGACCAGACAGGTTTTATCCCGGGCCGACATATATACTACAATTTGAGACGCCTTTTCAACGTAATGTATCATGATCATAAAGTTGAGGCAGTGGTAATAGCTCTTGATGCAGAGAAGGCGTTTGATCAGATTGAGTGGAAGTATATGATGTCGGTTCTGGAGCATTTCGGATTTGGAAAGGAATTTATTAATTGGATAAGAATTATTTATGCACACCCAATGGCGTCCGTGGTGACCAATCAGGAAATGTCGCAGTCATTCCGCCTGTTCAAGGGGTGCCGACAGGGGTGCCCTATTTCGCCTGCTCTCTTCGCTATAGCCATGGAACCCCTTGCTACGCGCATTCGGGCATGTGCCGATATAGCTTCGGTTAAAATAAAAGACACACAGCACAAAATTTCCCTATATGCAGACGATGTTCTTTTGTTTTTGTCCAAGCCTAAAACGTCTATTCCACCATTACTTAACTTGATAAACACATTCGGCTCCTTCTCTGGCTACAAGATAAACTGGCAAAAAAGTGAGATGATGCCAATATCACGGCCTGTGGATATGCAATTTCTGCAATCTACCCCGCTTAGAACTGTGAGGGACAAGTTCACAAGCCTTGGCATTGTAGTGACAAGAGACCTAGACCAGCTATTGAAAGTGAATTGGGACATGAAAATATATCAGCTTAAACAAAATATAGATTTCTGGAAAACTCTGCCTATTTCCTTGGTTGGTCGTATAAACGCTATTAAAATGGTTGTCCTACCCAGGTTTCTTTACCTCTTCCAATGTCTACCCAATTTCATACCACAAAGCTATTTTAAGAAACTGGATTCAATAGTAACTCCATTTTTATGGGATAACAAGGCAGCCAGAATTGCAAAGAAGCATTTATGCAAGTACAAGATAGAGGGGGGCTTTGGCCTTCCTCACTTCAAACTGTATTATTGGGCTGCTAATCTGAACATTGTGTCTTTCTGGAGGGAAAGTTTACCTGAGATGAGACGGAAGGATATGCCTTCATGGCTTTTGATTGAGCAGGCCTCCTGTCAACGCTCCTCACTCCCTGCACTTGTTAATAGCCCATCATATGTGAAAAAAGCCACTAATGACTCCAATCCAGTCATTTGTCATACTCTTAGGATCTGGAAACAGATTAGGGATTTTCTTAACATACCCACTGTGTACATAGACAGCCCGATTAGCCGGAATCATGCTTTCCACCCTGCAATGGATGATGTGGTGTTTTCACAGTGGAGGGAGAAGGGGCTCACAACAATTGGTAATCTATACATAGATGGTCAGTTAGCTTCATTCCAACAACTACAGGCAAAGTTCAACATGCCAACAACACATTTTTTCAGATACCTCCAAATCAGGAATTTCTTAAGGACACACATCCCACAGTATGGCATGAAGCCAAATAGCCCTACATTAGATAGCTTGATCCTTGTCAAACCCCATTCAAAAGGATCGGTCTCCAGACTGTATGATGTGCTACAGGCCCACATAGAGGTATCCACAGACACCATTAAAAGGGCTTGGGAACAAGAACTTGGTTCAGAAATCTCAAATGAGGACTGGATAGAAGCTCTCAGGAATATAAACCACAGTTCAGTGAATGCCAGACACAACCTTGTACAGTTTAAGGTGATACACAGGTTACACTACTCAAAAGTAAAACTGCATAAAATATTCCCGGACACCTCACCACTGTGTGAGAGGTGCAAGCAGGAGGAGGGGACGTTGTCCCACTTATTCTGGACATGCCCTAAATTACAGGCTTACTGGGCTCTCATTTTTGATTACTTATCTAAGGCCTTTGATAGAGTTCTAGCCCCAGACCCATTGATCGCTCTGTTTGGTACAGTTGATGGGAATAACCAGGAGGGTAAAGCTGTCTCTCTTTGTACTCTATTAGCCAAAAGGCTCATATTGCAATTTTGGAAATTGGAGACTGTACCTACCTTTGAAATGTGGTTACGGGATTTAGGGAATGTAATCCATATGGAAAAGATTCGATACAACACCTCCAATAGAAGTCCATTGTTTTACAAAATATGGCAGCCGATACTGGATAAGTGGTCTAGTCCCGCTTCATAACTGGGCTGACGATCTGCTGCTACTCTGTGCTGTACTCCACTCAATATTTATTTTTGGCTGAACTACACTGCTTGTAATGACTATATGCTGTCTTCTTATACACGTACCACCTAATAGGATTTTGTTTTATTTTGTGTATGTGTGAGTTAACTTTTGTTTTGTCCTCTAAACTGGCCATCCCATCCAACAGTACAATGAATGTCATTGTTTGTATTGCTGTCTCTTTTACTTTATTTTTATTGGAAAATAATAAACATATTATAAAAATAAAAAAAAATAGAATTTTTCAATTTAAATTATTATAAAAAATTATTGCAACCAATATAATGTTATTTATATGGGGGATACAATCTTCCCAGCTCTGCAGATTTTTGCTGCGAAGAGACAGAATCTTTAGATCATTTGTTTTGGTACTGTCCATTTGTAGCTTGTTTTTGGTCACAGGTCCAGGAATGGCTGAAGGATTGCAATATTTACCTGGAGCTAACCCTGCGGATAGCACTACTGGGTGATCTGAAAAGTCATAGTCAATCGATCAATAATATAATACTTTTAGCAAAAATGTTAATTTTCAATTTACAATCTGTAGAAACAATGAGAATAGAAGGATTCAAAACTTTTGTGAAACATCACAGTACAGTTGAAAAATATATGGCAAATAGAAATCCAATATGGATGGTGTTAAGAGATAGATGGGAGGTGTTGAATGGAGCTGAAGTTTGGGACTAATAACAACAAGATAACTAATGTAAAACATACTGTGTCCCAGTACCAGGACATTTAAGCCAAAAATCCGGTTGCCTCTGCCAGGAAGCTGAAACTTGACCGTGTGTGGATTTTCCAGCAAGACAATAACCCCAAGCAAACAGCAAATTCCACAAAGAAATGGTTAATTGACCAAAACATCTACATTTTGCAATGGCCATTTTAGTCTCCGGACTTGAACCCCATTGAAAACCTGTGGTTTGAATTGAAGAAGGCAGTCCATAAGAGCAGACAAAGGATATCAAGGATCTGGAAATATTCTGAATGGAGGAAGTGTCTATGATCCCTCCCAATAATTTTGGTCATGTTTGTTTATGTGTGTGCTCCTTTCCCTCCCCTCTCTCTCTCTTTCTCTCCTGCCCCTTTGTGTGTCTGTGATCACTGTGTATGTTAACCCTCTATCTCCCTTCCCATCCATCTCTCTCCCCATAGCGTCTCCACGATGTCGTCCTCCCGCTGTGTGCACGTCTGCAGCAACAGCACGGTGCTACCGGGAGTGACAGCGGGGCTGGGAGGGTGAGTGGGCAGTATGGCAGTGCCCCCCCCCGTAGGGAGCTGTACCGTCTGCTACTGGCTCTGGTCCTAGTGCCTCCACCTCGATGGCCCCCACCCCTCACCTGTACTGTGTCTATACTCAGCCACGGGAGGAGGGATAGGAGTCTGAAGGTAGGGGGAAATATACCCGCAGGGACAACACACGCATGCACACACACAGACACACACACACACGCTAATAGACACGCATGCACACACACACATGCAGGAACCCTACCTACACACACACACACAGGGACTGCAACCTGAAAGTACATATGCATGCACCACGCACACACCACTCAGGGAGGGGGACTAAAGGGTTATTTAGGGACTGTGACTAGCACACTGTAGTGTTTTGGTTTGGTGGTCTGTGTTTACGCAACCAAGTAAACATAATTCTGCCTCTTCTGTTCCACTTTAAATAAGAACATACACACACTCACTCACACAATCAACACATGCACAAACACAAAACTACACGTATAGAACACACACACAGATATATCTATACATGCATACATACAGTGCCTTCGGAAAGTATTCAGACCCCTTTACTTTTTCCACAGCCTTATTCTAAAATGGATTTAAAAAATATATAAAAATCCTCAGCAATCTACACACAATACCCCATAATGACAAAGCGAAAACAGGTTTTTAGACATTTTTCCAAATGTATTAAAACTTAAGAAAACATAAATACCTTATTTACATACAATACCAGTCAAACGTTTGGACACACCTACTCATTCAAGGGTTTTTATTTATTTTTACTATTTTTTACATTGTAAAATAATAGTGAAGACATCAAAACTATGAAATAACACATGGAATCATGTAGTAACCAAAAAAGTGTTAAACAAATCAAAATATATTTGAGATTCTTCAAATAGCCACCCTTTGCCTTGATGACAGCTTTGCACACTCTTGGCATTCTCTCAACCAGCTTCATGAGGTAGTCACCTGGAATGCATTTCAATTAAAAGTTAATTTGTGAAATGTCTTCACTTCTTAATGCGTTTGAGCCAATCAGATGTGTTGTGTCAAGGTAGGGGGGTATACAAAAGATATCCCTATTTGGTAAAAGACCATGTCCATATTATGGTAAGAACAGCTCAAATAAGCAAAGAGAAACGACAGTCCATCATTACTTTAAGAAATGAAGGTCGGTCAATACGGAACATTTCAAGAACTTTGAAAGTTTCTTCAAGTGCAGTCGCAAAACCATCAAGCGCTATGATGAAACTGGCTCTCATGAGGACCACCAAAGGAATGGAAGACCCAGAGTTACCTCTCCTGTAGAGGATAAGTTCAATAGTTACCAGCCTCAGAAATTGCAGCCCAAATAACTGCTTCACAGACTTCAAGTCACAGACACATCTCAACATCAGCTGTTTAGAGGGGACTGTGTGAATCAGGCCTTCATTGTCGAATTGCTGCAAAGAAACCACTACTAAATGACGCCAATAAGAAGAAGAGAACTGCTTGGGCCAAGAAACACGAGCAATGGACATTAGACTAGTGGAAATTTGTAATTTGGTCTGGAGTCCAAATTTGAGATTTTTGGTTCCAACCGCTGTGTCTTTGTGAGATGCAGTGTGGGTGAAAGGATGATCTCTGCATGTGTAGTTCCAACCGTAAAGCATGGAGGAGGTGTTATGGTGTGGGGGTGCTTTGCTGGTGACACTGTCTGTGATTTATTTAGAATTCAAGGCACACTTAACCAGCATGGCTACCAAAGCATTCTGCAGCGATACGCCATCCCATCTGGTTTGGGCTTAGTGGAACTATCATTTGTATTTCAACAGGACAATGACCCAACACACCTCCAGGCTGTGTAGGTGCTATTTTACCAAGAAGGAGAGTGATGGAGTGCTGCATCAGATTACCTGGCCTCCACAATCCCCCGACCTCAACCCAATTGAGATGGATTGGGATGAGTCGGATGGTAGAGTGAAGGAAAAGCAGCCAACAAGTGCTCAGCTAATGTGGGAACTCCTTCAAGACTGTTAGAAAAGCATTCCAAGTGAAGCTGGTTGAGAGAATGCCAAGAGTGTGCAAAGCTGTCATCAAGGCAAAGGGTGGCTATTTGAAGAATCTCAAATATAAAATATATTTTGATTTGTTTAACACTTTTTTTGGTTACTACATGATTCCATGTGTTATTTCATAGTTTTGAGGTCTTCACTATTATTTTAATGTAGAAAATAGTACAAATAAAGAAAAACCCTTGAATGAGTAGCTGTGTCCAAACTTTTGACTTGTACTGTAAGTATTCAGACCCTTTGCTAAGAGACTTGAAATTGAGCTCAAGTGCATTCTGTTTCCATTGATCATCCTTGAGATGTTTCTACAACTTGATTGGAGTCCACCTGTGGTACATTCAATTGATTGGACAAGATTTGGAAAGGCACACACCTGTCTATATAAGGTCCCACAGTTGACAGTTAATGTCAGAGCAAAAACCAAGCCATGAGGTCGAAGGAATTGTCCGTAGGGCCCATTTCATTTAAGGACCAAAGGATTGACAGCCTTCCCATATAGATTGCAAAATAGTTGGGAAGAGATATTTGATGTACCGATTCCATGGCATAGTGTTTACGAACTGATACGCAAAACGACGCCGGATTCAAAACGTATAATTTTTCTATTTAAATTATTATATGGGGGATACAATCTTCCCAGCTCTGCATTTGTAGCTTGTTTTTGGACACAGTTCCAGGAATGGCTGAATGATTGCAATATTTACCTGGAGCTAACCCTGCAGATAGCACTACTGGGTGATCTGAAAAGTCATAGTCAATCAATCAATATGATAATAATACTTTTTTTTTTTGGGGGGGGGGGGGATGGATCAGCTTAATATTGCAGATAGATTGTATCTTCTATCAATGTAATTGTCTGCATCACTTCCAATCCCCCATGTTTTTTATATATATATTCCCCATTATTACTTTTCAACCCCACGATCCTTTCCCTACTTGGAGTAAATTAGTGAACAACAATGCCCAGGCCTCTACTTCCGGTCTATACTAACTATCTACACCTTATGGACAGAGTTAATTTTACAATAATTCTATTATATATATATATATATTTTATTTATTTTTTGCTCCTGAACTTCTTCTACTCTCAACCTCTCCGATCATTTTCATGATGTCCATCCGGTTTGCTTCTATATGCCATATCTTTCTAACTGTGCTCTTTCCCAAAAGCTCCCAACATACAACCTATATACTTATTATGGACACAGTATGCTTACATTATTAGCTATCTTTGTTATTATGTGTTGTTATTAGTCCCATCCTTCAACTCTAATAATAATTTTAGCAAAACAATTTATTTTCAATTTACAATCTGTAGAAACAATGAGAATAGAAGGGTTCAGAACTTTTGTGAAACATCACAGTACAGTTGAAAAATATATGGCAAATAGAAATCCAATATGGATGGTGTTAAGAGATAGATGGGAGGTGTTGAATGGAGCTGAAGGATGGGACTAATAACAACTAATAACAACAAGATAACTAATGTAAAGCATACTGTGTCCATAATAAGTATATAGGCTATAGGTTTAGAGCTTTTGTGAAAGAGCACAGTTAGAAAGATATGGCATATAGAAGCAAACCGGATGGACATCATGAAAATGATCGGAGAGATTGAGGGTAGAGGAAGTTCAGGAGTAAAAACAAACAACATAGAATTGCTGGGCCACTCAAGGACATTTAGAGACTTGTCCCGAAGCCACTCCTGCGTTGTCTTGGCTGTGTGCTTAGGGTCGTTGTCCTGTTGGAAGGTGAACCTTCGCCCCAGTCTGAGGTCCTGAGCGGTCTGGAGCAGGTTTTCATTAAGGATCTCTCTGTACTTTGTGCCGTTCATCTTTCCCTCGATCCTGACTAGTCTCCCAGTCCCTGCTACTGAAAACCATCCCCACAGCATGGTGTTGCCACCACCATGCTTCACCGTAGGGATGGTGCCAGGTTTCCTCCAGACGTGCCACTTGGCATTCAGGCCAAAGAGTTCATTCTTGGTTTCATCAGACCAGAGAATCTTGTTTCTCATGGTCTGAGAGTCCTTTAGGTGCCTTTTGGCAAACTCCAAGTGGGCTGTCGTGCCTTTTACTGAGGAGTGGCTTCCGTCTGGCCACTCTACCATAAAGGCCTGATTGGTGGAGTGCTGCAGAGATGGGAGAACCTTCCAGAAGGACAACCATATCCACAGACGAACTCTGGAGCTCTGTCAGTGACCATCGGGTTCTTGGTCACCTCCCTGACCAAGGCCCTTCTCCCCCGATTGCTCAGTTTGGCCGGGCGTCCAGCTCTAGGAAGAGTCTTGGTGGTTCCAAACTTCTTCCATTTAAGAATGATGGACGCCACTGTGTTCTTGAGGACCTTCAATGCTGCAGACATTTTTTGGTTCCCTTCCCCAGATCTGTGCCTCGACACAATCCTGTCTCGGTGCTCTACGGACAATTCCTTCGACCTCATGGCTTGGTTTTTGCTCTGACATGCATTGTCAACTGTGGGACCTTATATAGACAGGCGTGTGCCTTTCCAAATCATGTCCAATCAATTGAATTTATCACAGGTGGACTCCAATCAAGTTGTAGAAACATCTCAAGGATGATCAATTGAAACAGGTTGCACCTGAGCTCAATTTCGAGTCTCATAGCAAAGGGTCTAAATACTTTTTTTTTTTACATTTGCAAACATTTCTAAACCTGTTTTTGCCTTGTCATTATGGGGTATGGTATGTAGATTGATGAGGGTTAAAACTTATTTTAATTCATTTTAGAATAAGGCTGTAGGTCAAGGGGTCTGAATACTTTCCAAATGCACTGTGTGTATGTGTATGCATAGCTTGTGGGTAAGTGGTTAGTTTAGTTCAGATCAGCTTTCTTTATCTAGATAAAGATGTAGCCTAATATTGCATGTGTCACTGTCTGTTGCAAAACAATCACAAATACACTTATAATTGATCAACATAATATAGTGTAACCTTATGAACATGTCAAATGCATTTACAACAGAGGATTCATTTTCTAGAGTTGATTGTGTAGTTTGTTTGAGGTTTGAATAGGATGCGATAGTGTATGTAAATACTATCTGTCACTGACTCTGGCTAGTGGAGACAGTTCCATGCATTTCAGTCTTTGTCTCTCTATCTGAAGCTCATGTGATAATGGTACTGTACTAGCAATGAGTAAGACTATTTCAGTCAGTGTGTAACACTAGACCAACAAAGATGTAACTGTGGAATGTTTTTAAAGACAGTTCAGAAGTAGTTTAGTGGTGTTATTTTACCCTTGTGCTGTTGAGGACTATTTAGACTGGTTTAGAGCGGTGTAATACTCTGGGAAGATGTGTATATAGCGTAGGAGTATTTTCCATGTGTGCTGTTATTTTCTCCTTTTGGTTAGCTCAGGCAAATTTGTATCTTTAGTGAAATGTATTGGACTAGGAAGTGACCTTTGGAATACATTTGCTTACTGAGCTGTCTACTTTCTCTTCATCCCTTTCTCTCCCTCTCTCTCTCTCTCTCCCTCTCTCTCCCCCTCTCTCCCTCTATCTCTATCTCTCTCTCTCTCTCCAGGTATCCTCCTTCTGTACAGAGGCCCTGACCATATGCAACTCCCTCCTCCACCCGCGCACCCCCTCCCTCTCCTTCCCCCTGCCCCCCCTCACCCTCAAACCCACCCCCTCCCAGGCATCCAGCCTCACCCTCCTAGGGGGGCCCACCCCTGGAACTCCCTTCCCCAGCCGACACCACCTGGGCCTTGGCCACACCGCCCTGCTAGGCTCCCTGGACAACCACCTACCTCTGGTTGTTCCAGGGCTCTCCGGCCAGGGCTCTACCCCAGGAGACCTGCTCCTGTCCCCCCATCAAGGTGAGCTGGCCGGGCTGGGGCTCCCCGAGGGCCAGAGACCTGTCTTCATCCGTTACGACAAAGAAGAAGCAGAGGATGTGGAGATTTCACTAGAGAGCGACTCGGACGATAGCGTGGTCATCGTGCCACAGGGGATGCTGATGTTAGAAAGCCAAGATGGCACCAGCGCTGCGGCCACTCTTCCCGGGTCTTCTTTAGCACCAGGTGGCGTCACACTCCCCGTGCCCGGTCCAGGGGGCGACCCAGGCAGGGACATCTCCCTCCCCCTTTCCTTCTCCAACAACCTTCCCTCCACCTCCCTTCCTCACCCTCTCCTCCCCTCCTCCACCATCAACTCGTTCCCTCCAGCTCCGCTAGTCTCTCTCGTTCCCCCTCTCAACTCCACCAGTGTGGCCCAGCTTGGGGAACCCTCTGTGGGGTTAGGAGTCGGGGCTGACTCCCTGCCTGGAGCCCAGCTCCAGCAGATGTTGCTGCAGGGCCAGCCTCCAGCACCAGGTCAACCCACAGCACTGGGTCTCCCCATACAGGTACAAAAATCACTTCATTTTCACTTAAAGGTCCAGTCGTTAAGTTTCGCTTGTGTCTTTTTACTTTTGGTTTTGTACACCAGCTGAAAATACAATATGTATGTATGGTACACATAGCTTGTTTTGTCACATAAACTGAAAAATAAATAAATTAAAAGGCATTTTAGAAACCAGGAAATGACAGAGCTATTTATACGCATTGCGCCTTTAAATACAATTGTCTAACTAACTTGAACTCTACAGATGCACCAGAACCAGTTAGCCCAGTCCAGCAGAGCCCTACAGCAGCAACAGCAGTCCATTGACGAAGATCACACGGTCATTAATATCAACAGCTCTGATGAAGAAGAGGAGGATGAAGAGATGGAGGATGAGGATGAGCTCGGAGAGGAGGAGGAAGAGGAGGGTCTGGAGGACGAAGAAGAGGAAGGGAGCGATTTCCCCGATGAGGAAGAATATTATGATGAAGAAGAGTTTGATGATTATGAGGCGGAAGAGGGGGAGGAGATGGAGGATGAAGAGGAGGAGGGAGAGATTCGGCCGTTGGACAGAGAAGGGAGGAGAGGAGAGATGGGAGGACAAGAGGAAGGAGAGGTGCTCAGAGGGTTGGCGGAGGAAGGAGGGATAGGAGGATTTCGAGTGGAGAGAGAGGGGGAAGGAGGGATAGAGGAGCTGGAGACGGACAGAAGCGCGTACGGGGAGGAAGGGATAAAGGCTCAGGAGGTAGAGAGCATCGGAGTGCTGGAGGAAGAGAGAGAGGGAGAGGAGGATGACGATGAAGGAATGAATGACCCGACCATGCCTCAGATCCTGTGTGTGACGGGCGGAGCTCTGGAAGAGAGGGAGGAGCTAGATCGGGAGGGGCATGGGCAGAAAGTGAGGTCATGGGAGCAGAAGGGAGCCAATCGGCCGGAGGGAATGTCCTCTTCTGAAGAAGGACCTGCTCCTCAACACCAACAGGAGGCGGGGCCTGCACCGGAAGTGAGGGTGGACGGCGACAATCAGCCATCCAATCAGGAGGGCGAAACATCCAAACAGGGCGGCGACAACTCCGGACAGGAAATGAGGTCATCAACAGCTCCGAGTGAGACAAAGGGGGAGGGGCCTGAACGAGAGAAAGGAGGAAAAGAGGGCGAGGAAGGAGAGGCTGAAGAAGAGGATGGGAGAGGGATGAAGAGGAAGAGGGAGGGAGAGGAGGAGGAGGAGGAAGGAACAGGACAGGGAACAGAGAAGAACAAGGTAAGAAAACAGACTGTTCAAAAAGTGTCCATATAACCATCGTACAACTCAGGCTTTTTGTACTATACAACCCACACATTGGATATGGCTTAGGGGGAATACTTTATTTGTAGATATACAAATGATGTTGGTTAATGACTGTTGTGCATTTCCTCTGCCAAATAAATACATTTTGGTCAACAAAATTAATAACTTATGTTGACCAAAATAATATTTATTTATCTAACAACCCTCTCTCTCTCTTTCTCACTCACTCACTCACTCTCACTCAGTTGGATGAAGAAGCGATGGCGTCCATGTTAGCCGATTTCGTAGCCTGCCCTCCGGACAATGTAGAAAATGTGCCCTCTGCATCCAACCGCCCATCCTAAACAAGGCCAGACATGGCTCCATCACAAGACCATCAGAACAACTCGATGTCTAGCCCCTTCCATAGTCTCACACATTCTTTCATTAGCAACATACAGCTAAGACAATGTTCAAAACATTAACACACTATGAGGCTGCATTTACACAGCCGGCCCAATTTTGATCTTTTTTCCACTAATTGGTCTTTTGACTAATCACATCAGATCTTTTCACAACAGATCTTTTTCAGAGGTGATCTAATTGTTCAAAAGACCAATTAGTGAAAAAAATATCAGAATTGGGCAGCCATAGAGGTTGGAATTAGATCGGTCTTAAATGATCACGTTTCGTCTTGAATGCAGGACCATAGATGCATTTGTAATACAACTCTCTGGACTCCATATTATAAAAATAAAAGCTTAGATTACTTTACATTAACCATAAATACTTTGTGATTGATTGATTAAAAGACTTTGCAGCTCATACTGGTGTGTGCTATTCTACGGTTAGTGAGTGTTTGTGAGTGTTCTACGGTTAGTGTCATGTTAATGTTTTTGGGTCTTTATATACAGTATAACTTCTGTTCTTTTTGTGTTCTCCATCTTTTCTTATAAAATAAATAAACGTCAAATGCAAACATGTTGAAACGAATAACTGTCAAGTCCATTGTCTTGATGTCTCAGCAGCAGTTTTAGTTTGTGTTCACACTTTGGGAATGAATTAACATGTGCTTTTTATGCTGTGTTGTTGAGGGTATGAACCCGCCTTGTCAATGCTTAAGTGGTTCTTGGGGTGAATTCAGGAAGTAGGGCTTTGATCAAAAGTAGTTTACCATGTAGGGAATAGGATTCTATTTGGTATGCAGACATTCTGTGAAGGTTTTAAGATGTTTCTTCATCCTACATTTCACCCCACAACTGCACTGCTAAAAACTGTTTTGCAATACCAAATGTTCTTGTGGAGTTTTCATTCAATAGGGTTTTCAGTACATTTATCTTAACTCATCTCTTTAAATAAGGTGTACCTTTTAATTAGAATTTAGTCGACAGACTCACTAGAATACATTGAGAGAACGGGTTCAGAATATAGGGATCAATGACAGAAAGACATCTATACTGAACAAAAATATAAACGCAACAATTGCAAAGATTTTACTGAGTTACAGTTCATATAAGGAAATCAGTCAATATAAATAAATTAGGCCCTAATCTATGGATTTCACATGACTGGGCAGAGGTGCAGCCATGGAGGGCATAGGCACCCACTTGGCAGCCAGGCCCACCCACTGGAGAGCTAGGCCCAGCCAATCAGAATGAGTTTTTCAACCCACAAAAGGGCTTTATTACAGACAGAAATACTCCTCCTCCTTTGGCTTAGTGGGACTATCATTTGTTTTTCAACAGGACAATGATCCAACCCAATTGAGATGGTTTGGGATGAGTTGGACCGCAGAGTGAAGGAAAAGCAGCCAACAACTGCTCAGCATATGTGGGAACTCCTTCAAGACTGTTGGAAAAGCATTCCAGGTGAAGCTGGTTGAGAGAATGCCAAGAGTGTGCAAAGCTGTCATCAAGGCAAAGGGTGGCTACTTTGAAGAATCTAAAATACAAAATATAATTTGATTTGTTTAACACTTTTTTGGTTACTACATGATTCTATATGTGTTATTTCATAGTTTTGATATCTTCACTATTATTCTACAATGTAGAAAATAGTAAAAAAAAAAAAAAAAACTTGAATGAGTAGGTGTGTCCAAACTTTTGACTGGTACTGTACGTCCAACCGGCCTCTCAACCGCAAACCCTGTGTAAACACGCCAGCCCAGTATGACAGCGTGTTCCAGTTCCCGCCAATATCCAGCAATTTCGCACAGCCATTGAAGAGGAGTGGGACAACATTCCCCAGGCCACAATTAAAAGCCTGATCAACTCTATGCGAAGGAGATGTGTCGCGCTGCATGAGGCAAATCGTGGTCACACCAGATACTGACTGGTTTTCTGATTCACGGCCCTACCTGTTTTTTAAAAGGTATCTTTGACCAATAGATGCATATCTGTAATCCCAGTCATGTGAAATCCATAGATTAGGGCCTAATACATTTATTTCAATTGACTGATTTCCTTATATGAACTGTAACTCAGTAAAATCTTTGAAATTGTTGCATGTTGCATTTATATTTTTATCAATATATTTAACATGATAGCCTACAAATTGTAAAATAAAACAAAGAAAAGCTTGGGCATATACAGTGACCTCCAAAAGTATTGGGACAGTGACACGTTTTTTGTTGTTTTGGCTCTGTACTCCAGCACGTTGGATTTGAAATTAGCTTTAATTTGAGGGTATTTTCATCCATATCAGGTGAACTGTTTTGAAATTACAGCACTTATTGTACATAGTCCCCCACATTTTAGGGAACCAAAAGTATTGGGACAAATTCACTTATGTGTATTAAAGTAGTCAAACGTTTAGTATTTCGTCCACAGGAGATTGGTGGAACCTTAATTGGGGAGAACGGGCACATGGTAATGGCTGGAGCGCAATAGGTGGAAAGGTATCAACAACTGTACAGTCAAGTCTACACATTCCACACCAATGCTCATAATCTATCCATCATGGACAAAACACAACATGGCAGTCTCAGTAAGGCAATTCGAATTTTGCAGATAGATGTAAAGTTTACTACATGTCTTAGATGTGGAAAAGTTATAAGCAGAGTGACATGATGCATGCTGACATTTGTGAGAAACTAATTTGAATTTGTGAAGTCATATTTTCTCTGAATACATTTCCTTTTTTATTATGCTTCTCTGTAGGTGATGGCTGAAGAGAACATCAGATATTACACTATAATTACAATCCAATACACTATAATTATATATAACATTATAGTGTGTAAACGATTACATGCGGGTGTAAGTTCAGAAGAGGTGCTTGTTGGGTTGTTTGCATATTTTTTTCCTAGGTTTTGCATGATGTCTCATAGGGATATTTTGTATACCTTATCTCTCTGCATGTGCTCATAGAGGTCGGTGTACTTCACTTCCTTGTGCTAGAGAGAGAAATAGAGAGAGAGGGGGAGGGTATGTAGACATAAACAACGTGACAGAGAAGGAGAGAGAGAGAGGAAGGGGGAGAGAGAGAAGCAAAGTCATTAGCTTGGGAATGTGGACAGGTCGTGAGAGGGTGTGAATGAAAGAGAGAGAGGATTTTTATTAAAGTGTATTTTGAAGTGTAGCAGACTGCTGTTGGATGACTGAACCGGTGGACAGTAGAGTGGACTGACTAACTTTCTGTGTGAGATTTCAGAAGATAAGAAAATTAGCACTCTACACAAAGAAAGAGAGAGAGAGAGAGAGAGTGAGGGAAGAGGAAATTGGGACGGATGGGGGGAAGAGTTAGTGACACGGAAATAAACACGAGAGAGAGGTAGAGAAAGAAAGAGGTGTAGAGAAAAGTGTCCGGAGCCAAACAGTGGATGTTCTATCTCTTTCCCTAACAGCAGTGAGGTAAGTTCTTCATTTTGCTGTTATAATGTCTGATGAACAAACTGTACATACATTCTGAATGGATATGAATGAATGCATTTGTCTGCAATAGATTACATAAGGACTCTGGACTAGGCTTTTACTTAAGGGAATGCTATAGGAATGCAAGGTAGAAAATTACTTAAATGTAAGGTAGAAAAGTACTGAAATGTAAGGTAGAAAAGTATAGAATGTTTTGAATGATGCTTGAACTTTACTTTGTTCAGTAATTTCAGGAAGGACAGACAGTGCACAGATAGAGATGTAAGAGATACTACATCACCAAAAGTATGTGGACACCCCTTCAAATTAGTAGATTCGGCTATTTCAGCCACACCCGTTGCTGACAGGTTTATAAAATCGAGCACACAGCCATGCAAACTCCATAGACAAACATTGGCAGTAGAATGGCCTTACTGAAGAGCTCAGTGACTTTCAACGTGGCACCGTCATAGGATGCCACCTTTCCAACAAGTTAGTTCGCCCTGATAGAGCTCTCTCGGTCAACTGTAAGCGCTGTTATTGTGAAGAGGAAACGTCTAGGAGCAACAACGGCTCAGCCGTGAAGTGGTAGGCCACACAAGCTCACAGAACGGGATCGCTGAGAGCTGTCCTCGGTTTCAACACTCACTACCGAGTTCCAAACTGCCTCTGGAAGCAACATCAGCACAATAACGGTTTGTCGGGAGCTTCATGAAATGGGTTTCCATGGCTGAGCAGCCTAAGATCACCATGCGCAATGCCAAGTGTCGACTGGAGTGGTGTAAAGCTCGCCGCCATTGGACTCTGGAGCAGTAGAAACGCGTTCTCTGGAGTGATGAATCACGCTTCACCATCTGGCAGTCCGACGAACTAATCTGGGTTTGGCAGATGCCAGGAGAACGCTACCTGCCCAAATGCATAGTGCCAACTGTAAAGTTTGGTGGAGGAGGAATAATGGTCTGGGGCTGTTTTTCATGGTTCGGGCTAGGCCCCTTAGTTCCAGTGAAGTGAAATCTTAACGCTACAGCATACAATGACATTCTAGACAATTCTGTGCTTCCAACTTTGTGGCAACAGTTTGGGGAAGGCCCTTTCCTGGTTCAGCATGACAATGCCCCCGTGAACAAAGCGAGGTCCATACAGAAATGGTTTGTCGAGATCGGTGTGGAAGTACTTGACTGGCCTGCACAGAGCCCTGACCTCAACCCCATCGAACACCTTTGGGTTGAATTGGAACGCCGGCTGCGAGCCAGGCCTAATCGCCCAACATCAGTGCCCGACCTCACTAATGCTCTTGTGGCTGAATGGAAGCAAGTCCCTGCACCAATGTTCCAACATCTAGTACAAAGCCTTCCCAGAAGAGTGGAGGCTGTTATAGCAGCAAAGGGGGGGACCAACTCCATATTAATGTCCATGATTTTGGAATGAGATGTTCGACGAGCAGGTGTCCACATACTTTTGGGCATGTAGTGTAGTACAACATCAGTGCTCACATAGGTCATAGATGTAAACTACAGTCGTAGCTGTTGTTGTCATGCGTGTGGCTAAAGCAGATCACATGTATGGTGTCATAAATATCTGCATCCGTATGGTCGACATAGCAAAAGTCTTGTGGTCTTTGAACAGATAATATGGAAATGCTACTGTTGTGCTTTGTACTCAAGTTTAGCACGTGCATATCAACCACCTTGTCTTCATTGTCTTTTAAACATGTCTTGCTCAAAACCACACATAGAAGCCCACAGTCATTTCTCGAAGGGACATTTTGACGAACTCAATATACTTAAACCAAATCAAAACTGTGTAGAAATGTTAATGGACCTACATTCATCGTTTCCAGCTCCTTAATAATCCCTAGACAGTCAGAGAGCATAGAAAATTCCCCAAATGATGGATAGAGGAATTTGTTTTGCTAATTTTGACCAGGGTGCTTTTTGACAACACTCATTGGTTTATTCTCCTGTCAAACTGAACTTCTAATAAACCTTTCACAACTTGTTTTTATGTCACTGAGGTTCCTTGAGCTTCTTCTGATTTAAAAAGCTACACCACTCCACTAGGCTTAGCTGTTATGACAGAATCATACAAATACCACATACACACAAAAAGGTGTGAAATCATGGTCCTCTCTCAGACTGCAAAGGGGAATGAATGAGGGCAAAGAGGAGCGTGGAGGGGACTCATTTAGGGGGATTTAAAAGCAACCCTCTGGTCTTAGACCAGTCTGAGCACTGAGAGTTACTGCGAGAGAGTTGCGGTGGTCGCCCTGTTACTGGCAGTAGGCCTACCGCTCCTTAGCTCTCACAAATACTCAGTCCTCATTCTCAGAATGAATGATTACGAATGAGTCCCAAATGGCACCCTATTCCTTACATAGTGCAGTACTTTTTTACCAGAACCCTATGGGCCCTGTTGAAACGTAGTGTCCTATATAGGGAATAGGGTGCCATTTGGGAGGCAGACAATGTTAATAAGTGATTTTACTGTAGGGAAAGAGCTAAACCGGCTACACACTGTAAAGAAATAGATAAAAGCAAACATTAGCTTTAAGTTATGAGTCTTTGGTGCGTTTTCTCAGCTCACAGTCTCTCCATTGTTTAGAGAGAGGGGTGCCGTACCCAACAGGTATGCACCTATAACTGTGTGCCTGATGTAGGCTACTAATCCATGCAAAGTTTCAACGTTTCAAAGTTTATTCGCCACGTGCGCAGGATACAACAGGTAAAACAGTAGAGTTAAATTCTTCCCTTGAGAGCTCTTTCCCAACAATGCAGTGATAATAATAATAATAATAATAATAATAATAATATAGATATAATAATATAAAATAGAATAAAACATTAAAATAAAACCATACAAGAAATACAATAAGAGTTAAAGTAACATGAGAATGCAAGTATATACAGGTAATAATAAATAATAATATGCCATTTAGCAGACGCTTTTATCCAAAGCGACTAACAGTCATGCGTGCATAAATTTGTTGTTGTTGTTGTTGTTGTGTGTATGGGTGGTCCCGGGGATCGTTACAAGCGCCGTGCTCTACCAGTTGAGCTACAGAGGACCAGGTCAGTGCCAGTACCTTATTCAATGTGCTGAGGTACTAGAGTGGTCCAGGTAGGTTTATATATAAAAAGTGACTGGTAGCAGGATATACATGTAAACAGGGCTGAAAAGTGACTGGTAGCAGGAATACACTGAGTGTAAAAAACATTAAGAACACCTTCCTAATATTGAGTTGTTCCCCTTCGTCTGGGCATGGACTCTACAAGGTGTCAAAAGTGTTCCACAGGAATGCCGGCCCATGTTGACTCCATTGCTTCCCACAGTTGTGTCAAGTTGGCTGGATGTTCATTGGGTGGTGGACCATTCTTGATACACACGGGAAACTGTTAAGTGCGAAAAACCCAGCAGCGTTGCAGTTCTAGACACAAACCAGTGCGCCTGGCACCTACTACCATACCCTGTTCAAAGGCACTTAAATATTTTGTCTTGCCCTTTCACCCTCTGAATGCCACACATACTCAATTGTCTCAAGGCTTAAAAATCCTTCTTTAACCTGTCTCCTCCCCTTCATCTACACTGATTGAAGTGGATTTAACAAGTGACATCAATAAGGGATCATAGCTTTCACCTGGATTCACCTGATCAGTCTATGTCATGGAAAGAGAAGGTGTTCATCATGTTTTTTTACACTCAGTGTATATAAATACTTATGGTAATATACTAATGGTAATATATACATGTGAACAGGAGTAATAGTGACCAGTAGCAGGATAAATAGATACTAATGGTAATGGAAATCAATGGACAGCAGTGTAATGGAGTAATACTGTACATCGAATCAATAATCCCTTTAGCAGCAACGTAGGTTGTGTCTAAGTGAGTAGAGGCCTTCGGATGGGCATAGAGTCCGTGTGGACAGTCTGTGGGAGAGGGAGAGCAGTAGTTGTTAGCGATTTAACAGTCCTATGGCCAGGGAATAGAAGCTTTTTAGGAGTCTGTTTGTCTGAGCCTTGATGCACCGGTACCACATTCCGGGCGGGAGCATGGAGAACAGTCCATGGCTCGGGTGGCTGGAGACTCTGGCAATTTTTCGGGCCTTTCTCAGACACCGCCTGGCATGAACGTCCTGGATGGCTGGGAGCTCGTACCCCAGTGATGCGCTTGGCCATCCGCACCACCCTCTGTAGGGTCTTCTGGTCGCGGGCAGTGCAGTTGCCATACCAGACGGTGGATACAACTAGTCAGGATGCTCTCAATGGTGCAGCTGTAAAGGTTCCTAAGGATCTGAGGGAGAAGAGGCATTGCCATGCCTTCTTAATGACAGTTCTGCTGTAAGAGGACCATATTAAGTCCTCAGTAATGTGGACACCGAGGAGCATGAAGCTCTTAACCCTCTCAACTGCGGCCCTGTCGATGTGGATGGGGGTCTGTGCCAGCTGGTCTGCGCATACACTGAGTACACGCCCTGGAATACTGTCTGGCCCTGTGGCCTTGCGAGTGTTGACCAGATTAAAAACCTTACTCACGTCGGCCTCGGAGAGTGATGCATGTCCCTAGACTCCTCATTCCCGGGTTGAAGTTCTCCTTAGGCACAGATCTAGGATCAGGTTACCCTCCTCAAGTCTTAACCATAAGAGGATAAACATTAAACTGACCTTAAATCAGTGTTTGAGGACACACCAGACTCCTCAGCCCCTATACATCACACTCAGAAGTTTTCTGACATACAGCCAACAGCCTCAGGCTTATGTCTCCTTGTGTTTCACTGCATCTGTGTGTGTGTGTGTGTGTATGTGTGCGCATGTACCGGTGTTTTTAGATGGAGGTGTATAAGCTGACAGTTGCTACAGGCACATCAGAGTATTCTGGCACCAATAACTACATATATGTCACCCTGGTGGGAGAGAATGGAGAGAGTGAGAGAACAATCCTGGACAACCCTGGACTGGACTTCTGTAGAGGAGCGGTGAGTAGTGCTGGGCATGTGTGCTCCAGGAGGAGGAGTACAAGGTGTGTGTGTCATTTTTAGGTAGATTAATATAAAGTGTGGGTGTCTCTCCCTCCCTAACCCCCAGGTGGATGAGTACAAGGTGTGTAGCCCGGCCCCTCTGGGTCCTCTCCTCCTGGTTCGTCTGGAGAAGCAGCGTTACTGGGTGGAGGATAACTGGTTCTGTCGCTATGTCACTGTGGAGCCACCAGGTGGTGGTACAGCCCTCACCTTCCCCTGTTACCGCTGGCTCATAGGAGACATCAAGGTGGAGATACGAGAAGGCACAGGTAATTGGTAAAGGAAAGAAGTTGCCCCTCAAGATACTGCTCTCAAGTCAGTTTGCGTTTTTCCCACTAGTGATAAAGGTTATGTTTTGGGGTGAGAAAGCTGATCCTAGATTTGGTCAAACAAAGTGTAAAGGTCAAGAAGAGGTTTGAGAAGGATGTACAGGTAACTGTCAAAATAAAGGAAACCCCAACATAAAGCGTCTTAACAGGGCGTTGGGCCAGCATGAGCCGCCAGAACTGCTTCAATGCACCTTGGCATAGATATTCGATCATTTGGTGTTTAGTTGGTGGTGGTGCAAAATGCGGTCTCAGGGGCCACTCCTAAAACTCCCATAAGTGTTCACACACACCCTTTAAACCCCCTATGATCCTTTGAGACCCCTCTTTCAAAGTCACTGAGATCTCTTCTTCTAGCCATGGTAGCCAAAATAATGGGCATCTGGCCATTTTTAAACATGACCCTAAGCATGAGGGATGTTAATTGCTTAAATAACTCAGGAACCACACCTGTGTGGAAGCACCTGCTTTCAATATAATTTGTATCCCTCATTTACTCAAGTGTTTCCTTTATTTTGGCAGTTACCTGTATGTGCGAGTTAGTCATCCCTCTTTCTCGCTCTCCCTCTCTCTCTCTCTCTCCCTCCTTTAGCGAAGAGACTCAGTGATGACACCTCTCCTCAGCTATTGGCTCACAGAAAAGCAGAACTGCAAGAGAGACAGAAGATATACAGGTCAGTAAGATTACAGAAATGTTGTTACACACACACACACACACGTATGTGCACAAGCACAGAAATAAGAATACACACACGTCCCAATTCCAATCCCTCCAGAAAGAGAGCCTAGTTCTTACAGTTATGTTTGTTTATCCAGATGGGCTGCATGGGCTCCTGGGATTCCCAAGTGTATTGATGCCAAGACCGAGGCAGACCTGCATCAGGACGTACGTTTTGACAACGAGAAAAGGAGCGACTTTGAGGGCTCCTTACACTATGCGTGAGTTACACACACACTTTTCTGTGTGATGTTATTTTTACGCATTGACATTCACACATGGTGGTCACATTTCCCCTAAATCTAATGTAAAATGTCCCTCACTTGCTCAGACATACAGTACCAGTCAAAAGTTTGGACACACCTACTCATTCAAGGGTTTTTCTTTATTTTTACATTGTAGAATAATAGTGAAGACATCAAAACTATGAAATAACATATATGGAATCATGTAGTAACCAAAAAAGTGTTTAAAAAAATAGAAATATATTTTATATTTGAGATTCTTCAAATAGTCACCCTTTGCCTTGATGACAGCTTTGCACACTCCTCTCCTCTCCTCTCCCAGTATTCTAGAGCTGTCTCTGAAGAAACTAGCCATCAGGTTTGGAAAGTCATGGAACGATCTGGAGGACTTTAAACGATGCTTCTGGAAACTCAAAAGCCCGATAGCTGGTAGAGTACAATGAAACAAATATACAATATTTAGATTCAGTGTTTTAGCCCTCCCTCCCATCACTGCATCAGTGCTATTGGTTGTAGAATACAGGCCAACACTTTTCATTGCTGTCCCTTCCTATTCATAATCATAGACATTGAGGAAGTGAGACCTCAGAGTAATGCAACAACAGTTTTCACCTAATTTAATCAGTGTTTCATCTACTGTTTCACATTGCAATACATGTTCATATAACGTAATTCAGTCAGTTTTTAATATTTTAAATCATTGATTAAATAATTATTTAATATATGGTCAATTAGTTTTCCCACATTACGTTTAAGACTTCTCTATATTTACTCTCTCAGTCCCATTATACAGTATATCATATATTACCATTTTTTGTATTGCTTTGGTGTAATTTTCACAAGTATGTTGTACATTTTCACAACTCTTAGTCCAAAACTCAAAACACATTATCAAAAAGGCAGTTGTTTCAAAACTAAGCACATTTTCAATTCACTAAGTACAACACACAAAATCATACAGTCACTTTTTCACCAAACTTAATCAGTGTTTCATCTACTGTTTCACATTGCAATACATGTTCATATAAAGTAATTGCCTTTCACATTGCAATGCTCACATTACTTTTGATATGATTGTCTTCTCTTTTGTTAAAATACATTTTACTATTACTTAATCCGACTGCTCTTAATTGATGATCACTTAAACGTTTGGTAAACCTATAGATTCTACACGTAAACTGGTTTGTCTACTACAGATTTTGAGAACTAATTCAAATATACAGTATGTCTGTAAAGTATAAACATAAAAAGTATACATACTCAAATGTACTACTATGATGATTACTTATGATTTTACTTCTAGTAAATTTTTAAAAAAATCTGATATTGACAAGATCAGAGATGTACTGTATGTAACAAATCAAATCAAGGTTTATTGGCCGCGTACAGATTAGCAGATGTTACAGCAGGTGCAGCGAAATGCTTGTGTTTCTAGCTCCTACACTGCAGTAATACAATATCAATACAATACCAATAATCCAGAAAGTCCAAAATAAGAAATGCATCCCCTATACACTAAACATGTTTCAAGTACATACGTACAATACAATACTGTAAAATACAATACACAATTACAATACAGGTGGAAGATGTACGATTGCCATCCCCATGAGCGTACCACCCTCCTTCAGGCCATGGATGAGGCATGCAATGATGTCAATCCAGACCTGTCAGGCTTGGATTCGCCATGCCAAAAGGTTTTTCCCCAGGTGCATGAACAATTAGGATATTCACTGCGATTTTGATGAGAGCCTATTTCCAAATGCTCAACACAGGCTTGATGCAAACTAGTGCTGCTAAACATAAGGTTTCTTTCATTTCTTTCATTTGATTACATTGTGAAAGATGTTTGCAATGATCACACCTTTGATCACGCATGGGATAGAAATTATGGACATTTTATGTTCAGTCAATTTTAATGGGTAGTGTAAGTGTATTGCCTAATATGAAAACAGTGTAGTGCACAGTCATGTACAGTACTGCAGCATACTACATTCAAAGGGCAATTATGAAACATGTATTTTAAATGTTTTGCTATTGGATTAACTGGTTGTTAAAATAACTAAACTGAGAAGATATCATTATGTTGTGTTTTGGTGATTAAACCAATGTACTCATTATTTTTCACAGTAAACTTAGATTTTGTATCAATGGTTGTGTGATGAAAGATGTCTACAAACAAAATTAATGCACAATGAAAGGTTTTGAATGTAAGACTGGCAGCATTACAAGTGTTACCAGTTCGGAGTTTTGAAAATTCACCACATACTTGTGAAAATAGTACCAAAGCGATAAAAAAAACTGTAATATAGATTATTATATTAAGAATTGATTATTGATACATTCAGACAGTACTTTTTTCATTATGTGGTTGATTGATTGATTGATTATCCCTATGGTTCCAGAGTACTGTATGGAGCACTGGAAGGAGGATTGGTTCTTTGGGTACCAGTGTCTGAATGGTTCAAACCCCCGCATGATCCAGCGCTGCAAGGAGCTTCCAGGAAACTTCCCAGTCTCTGGAGACATGGTGCAGGGGTCGTTGGCACCCAGGACCACCCTGGACAAGGAGCTCAAGGTGGGGCCCCACTATCTATCTATCTATCTATCTATCTATCTATCTGACCACCCTGGGGTCCCTCTCTCTGTCCTTCTGTCTGCGTACCAAAATGGCACCCTATTTCCAAAATAGTGCACTACTTTTGATCAGAGCCTATTCTGTCCCACCCCAAAAAAACTATTTAAAAAACAGTTACGTCTCCAGATTTAGGACATATGTTCTAATTGAATCCAAGACAATAACAAACATATAAGTTAATATAGTACAAAGTAATTGTTTATACACCAGTTCCAAACCCTGATTCCTAAACTTCATGTTTGAAAATAAAGCAATTAATATATTTTTTTACACTTTTATTTCAATATAACATCTTAAGTTGTTCTATTATTACATTGAAAGATACTGATCTAATTATTTGTTTTGGTTATTTTTACACATCTTTTGATGTCACTACCAAAACACACACTTTAAAAGACTGTAGAATTAAGGTGCCTTAAACTACAACCCTACAAATATCACCAGGTGATGGGATTGCACCCATCTCCAGCATGACAACATGGTGAGTAGTCTGTCTGCAAACATTTTGGAGAAAATGAGTGAGCAAGTTGGTAAATCTTTATGTCTTTTTAAGTGTCACTACCGAACGCTAATATATCAAGAAATATGACAAGTACGATTTTAGGACTAAAATATATGTTTTGCTGGGATGTAAATATGTCATAATGAAAGCTAGCCAGCCAGCCATTTGTTAGCTATGGAGATTCTTTAAAGTCCAAAATAAGTCAAAATTGTCCAAATCGAAAACGGTCACAACCGAAACAATTAACACCATAGAGATGTATAGAGGTCTCATCTTTGTATCTGTGCCATTATGGCGTCTGTGACAGCACGGGCAGCACCATTGAGGCCATCTCCAATTTAAAGATGCATGCGCCATGCTCTACCACCTGAGCTACAGAGGACCACCCTGTGAGTAGTGGACAAGTGCACACTTCAGGAAAAAGTGTAGAGTATTGAGATGCATAGCCAGCAGGAGGGGCTCCAACCTTTCAAGAGCCCAAACATTAACATCTATTTGGCCAAAACATAGACATCTATAATATGCTATATTGTACTGTACTCTACTGTACCGTACCCTGCTCTACTGTTCTTTACTGTACTCTACGATACTGTGCTCTACTGCACTGTACTATACTCAAGTTGACTTGCGTTTCTTACAATTTAAGAAAGGGCCCATAGACTCTTGATCTAGTGGTCTTGGTCTTGAGACCACATAAATCCGGTCTTTTATTAACTTGTTATGGTCTCAACTCACTGGGTCTGGATCTTGGGACCAATGTCCTGGTATAAATCTTGGTCTTGGCACCTGGATTTGACGTCAGTCTGGTTTACAATAGGCAACCCAATTTGAAGAAGACAACGCTCTCTGATCATTGGCTGATCAGTCCCAACACATAGGAATCCCCACCCAGTTGACTACCATTAATCTTGGGGTGACGGGGGGAGCGAGTTTGCAAAATGCTATCATATCACTCAATTACACCATTTATAAAATGGTCATATATATATATATATATTGGATCATTTTGTCAATTTGCGCTTTTTTTTTGCTAGTCTATATTTTAAATATATATATATATATATATATCACCTCAGTCCAAAGAGGAATAACTTTGCAGCTGTTTCTGATTAATAAACATTGCCATGCTGGTGGGTGGTAACATTTAAATAAAACCCAGCCCTGAAACGAAATGTACGCTGAAAATAGTTTATGTCATGTCATAGGAAAAGACACCGCATTCACATGGATTTTCACCAAGTGGGCAGTTCAGATGTCACTTCAAGCCCAAATATACTGTATCATACTTTGACTAAAACGATGACTTATTGACTTAAATCATTGTGCAACATCATGGGTAAGCTCTGGCCATCGTCTTTGAGCTCTAAAAAGTGGATTTCTACTGGTGTGGGCGTTTAAATGGTGGAAGACTTCAATGGCAATTTCTATGCCAAAACAAGTTATTTCCATCTAGAGTCCTCTATTCATCTCTATGATAGACACTTGACAACAAAACGCCTGTTATTTTGCCAAAATAAAGATAGGTAAAGGGATAATTTAAACATCTAACAGCATAACTAATTACATGCTAAAGTAATTCAATCAATCAACAAGTTTCAGATTCATACAATCAACATTTAACATTTTACAGAGAACAATTCAAAATTCAATTGAAAGGTTTTGAAAATCAGATTAAAAATAATGTTTTTTGGTATTTTGTTAATTTGGTATGCAAATAACATTTATAAGCCCGCTTGGAGTTCTCTTTTTATTGCAACTTTTTCACTATGTTTCAGTAGTGACAAAGTTAGTGGTGTGGTAAGGGATTCAGGTAAATATTTCAAATATGCAATACAGACAAAGTGTGCTGAAAGTTTGGGAGAAATAGGATACAAATGTAAAACAAATGCCAACCCCCAATTTACACCACTTCTGTAGAACAAGTCATATACTGCTTGCACTACTTTTGACCAGAGCCCTACGGTGGAACAGCATGTTTATGATGTGGGTAAGTAGGCAAATACTATCCTAATCCACCAGAAAAGACAGAACAAATATTATGGTTAATCTCAAATATACTCATTGATAAAAAAATACATTATAAAAAAATACAAATAAAATAACTGTATAATCTTTGTAAATTATATCATAAATAGGACAGGTGGAGTTATGTCACACATACAGTTAACAAAAATATATGGAAATATCTGCTCTATCCAAAATTACAACCAACTGATTCCGCAAAAAAGGAGGTGGCAAGTGGAAAGGGGAGAAGGTAAGGAACTTATTTATAAATACCTTATTTACATAAGTATTCAGACCCTTTGCTATGAGACTCGAAATTGAGCTCAGGTGCATCCTGTTTCCATTGATCAACCTTGAGATGTTTCTACAACTTGGAGTCCACCTGTGGTAAACTCAAATGATTGGACATGATTTGGAAAGGCACACACCTGTCTATATAAGGTCCCACAGTTGACAGTGCATGTCAGAGCAAAAACCAAGCCATGGGGTCGAAGGAATTGTCCGTAGAGCTCCGAGACAGGATTGTGTCGAGGCACCAATCAGGGGAAGGGTACCAAAACATGTCTGGAGCATTGAAGGTCCCAAGAACACAGTGGCCTCCATCATTCTTAAATGGAAGAAGTTTGGAACCACCAAGACTCTTCCTAGAGCTGGCCGCCCGGCCAAACTGAGCAATCGGGGGAGAAGGGTCTTGGTCAGGGAGGTGACCAAGAACCCGATGGTCAATCTGACTGAGCTCTGGAGTTCCTCTGTGGAGATGGGAGAAACTTCCAGAAGGACAACCATCTCTGCAGGACTCTACCAAATCAGGCCTTTAAGGTAGAGTGGCCAGACGGAAGCCACTCCTCAGTAAAAAGGCACATGACAGCCCGCTTGGAGTTTGCCAAAAAGGCACCTAAAGCCCATCAGACCATGAGAAACAAGATTCTTTGGTCTGATGAAACCAAGATTGAACTCTATGGCCTGAATGCCAAGCGTCACGTCTGGAGGAAACCTGGCACCATCCCTACAGTGAAGCATGGTGGTGGCAGCATAATGCTGTGGGGATGTTTTTCAGCGGCAGGGACTGGGAGACTAGTCAGGATTGAGGGAAAGATGAACGGAGCAAAGTACAGAGAGATCCTTGATGAAAACCTGCTCCAGAGTGCTCAGGACCTCAGACTGGGGCGAAGGTTCACCTTCCAACAGGAAAACGACCCTAAGCACACAGCCAAGACAACGCCGGAGAGGTTTTGGGACAAGTCTCTGAATGTCCTTGAGGGGCCCAGCCAGAGCCCAGACTTGAACCCGATCGAACATCTCTGGAGAGACCTGAAAATAGCTGTGCAGCAACGCTCCCCATCCAACCTGACAGAGCTTGAGAGGATCTGCAGAGAAGAATGGGAGAAACTCCCCAAATACAGGTGTGCCAAGCTTGTAGTGTCATACCCAAGAAGACTCGACGCTGTAATCACTGCCAAAGGTGCTTCAACAAAGTACTGAGTGAAGGGTCTGAATACTTACGTAAATGTGATATTTCCGTTTTTTTTTTTTTTATAAATGTGCAAAACGTTCTAAAAAACGATTTCTGCTTTGTCATTAAGGGGTAATGTGTGTAGATTGATGAGGGAAAATTTTGTTTTAATCAATTTTAGAATAAGGCTGTAACGTAACAAAATGTGGAAAAAGTCAAGGGGTCTGAATACTTTCTGAAGGCACTATATGGGGGATACAAGCATCCCAGCTCTGCAGATTTTGCTGCGAATAGACAGAATAATTAAATCACTTGTTTTGGTACTGCCCATATGTAGCTTGTTTTTGGTCGCAGCTTCAGGAATGGTTGAAAAATTGCTACATTTACTTGGAGCGAACATGCAAATAGCACTGCTGGATGATTTGAAAAGTCATAGTCAATCGATCAATAATATAATAATACTCTTAGCAAAGGTGTTTATCTTTAATTTACAATCTGTAGAAACTATGAGAATAGAAAGGTTCAGAACTTTTGTGAAACATCACAGCACAGTAGAAAAATATATGGCAGCTAGAAATCAAAACTGGATGGTCTTCAGAGATAGATGTGAGGGGTTGAGAGTAGCTGAAGGCTGGGACTAAAAACAAACAAAAGATAACTAATGTAAAATATACTGTCCGTGAAATGTATGTACTATGTATAAGCTAGAAGTGGAAGCTTAAGTATTGTTGTCCATTAGTTTACTCCAATTAGGGGAGGGGTGGTAGGGTAAGGGGAAAATGATAAAGAACGAAAATGTATTTCATTAGTTTATTCCAATTAGGGGAGGGTTGGCAGGGTTAGGGGAAAATAATATATATATTTACAAAAAATATATATGGGATTTGGAAGTGATGCAGACAATTACATTGATAGAAGCCACAATCTATCTGCAATAAAGCTGATCTACCCCCTAAAAGAAATACTATCCTAACCCTAGCCTCAGCTGCCTCTACAGATTTTCTGCTCTCCTCCCTTCATCTCTAGGCTGGTAACATCTACTTGATTGACTATGCCATTATGGATGGTGTTCCCACAAATGTAATCAGGGGGAAACCACAGTACATCGCTGCACCTCTGTGTCTACTATATGAACACCCTGACCTGGGACTCATACCCATTGCCATACAGGTAGGACTGGACACACATACACACAGACAGACACACACAACACAACACACACTTTATTCATCCCTTCTCTTCTCCAGCTAGGACAGACTCCTGGCTTCGACACACCCATTTTCCTGCCTAATGACCCGCCCCTGGCCTGGCTACTGGCTAAGATCTGGGTCCGTCACTCAGAGTTTCAGGTGTTCCAGTTGCTGTCACACCTGTTGAGAACTCACCTGTTGGTAGAAGTGTTCTGTGTGGCTACATTACGTCAACTTCCCGCTGTACACCCTGTATATAAGGTAGGGGTGTATGTGCGTGTGTGTGTGTGTGTGTGTGCGTGTGTGCGTGTGTTGCTGTCTCATCCCTCTCTCTGTCTCTAGCTCCTGACTCCCCACCTGCGCTACACTCTGGAGATCAACTGCAGGGGACGCACTCAGCTTGTCTCTGCTGACGGCATCTTCAAAAGGGTCAGTTCGCTATTCTCTTTCATTGAGGGCTCATTTTCCCCTTTCATGTTTTGTCACCTTTTTTTTTTTCTTCGAATGTGCGAAATGTCATAGGGACACAGATAGAAGGACAGCTTTGAAAGTGGTGGACAAGTGGTTCGATTTCCCACCATTGTGGTCTAAGCTGACAGCATCATCCTGCTCTCTTCCTCCAGGTGGTGTCTACAGGAGGGGAGGGTCTGCTCGTCCTGTCCCAGAGAGAGTACAAGGTCCTGACCTACCGCTCTCTCCAGCCCTGCTGGGACTTCCAACAGCGCGGCGCCACCACGCTCAAAGACTACTTCTACAGGGAGCACAGCCTCATGCTGTGGGACGCCATACACAGGTTTTTACTTCTTGCTTTACTCCTATGTGGCTGTGGTCAAAATGGCATCTTATTCCCTATGGGTCCTGGTCAAAAGTAGTGCACTAAATAGGGAATAAGGTGTAGAGCCACCAAGCTCAGAGACTACTTCTACATGGAACACGGTCTGATGCTGTGGTACGCAATACACAGGTACAATACCCGTGTGACCACTTCTTTATGACCACAGAGACATTGTTTATTAGGTTGTAAGAGGAAAGCAAGGAGGGGACATGCTATTAGGCCTGAAATATGGACATGCTGAAATTCACATTGAGAAAATAGTATTATGTCCTTTAATTAGCCTACTCTTATTCTCCCTCTATTTCTACCTCACTGTTTGTTTCCCTCCATCTTCCCATCCCCCCTCTCGCTCTCTCTTTTCTCTCTCGCCATAGTTTCGTCTCAGGGATGATATCTGTGTACTACCATTGTGACAGTGATGTGGTGGAGGACTCGGAGTTACAGACCTGGATAAAGGACATCGCTGAGGAGGGCTTTGTCGATGTTCCCAAATTTGGCTTGTCCAACGAACTAAAAAACAAAGCAGAGCTGGTCACCTTGCTGAGTGTAGCCATCTTCACAAGCACAGCACAGCACGCAGCCACCAACAATGGACAGGTATTTCACAAACACACACACCAGGCACGCGAGCAAGCAAGCAAGCACACATGCACATTCACACGAACGCACACTTCTATTAACTTACTCCTCTCTCTTTAACGTAGTTTGACTGGTGTGCTTGGGTACCCAACACCCCGTGCACCATGCGTCACCCCATGCCAACCGACAAGGACGCTGTTACCATGGAGATGATAATGGACAGCCTGCCTGATGTCAGCCAAACATGTTTGGAGATGGCGATCACATGGCACCTGGGGCGGCCACAACCTGATGCAGTAAGTTAAAGGGTTACGGTAACGCTAGCTGATCCCATAAAATCCCAGTCAAACTTGGGAGTAGTTACACATATTTTTTTTAATGGGGGTGGTACCACCTCAACATACATTTGTTTCCATTTCAAAATGCTTTCTCCCGTTTGCTCCTACTGAATGAAACCCTTGTCTCCCACCTCCTTTCATTGTCTTTCTCTCCCTTCCCCTATCCCCCTCTCTTCTCCAGGTCCCAATGGGTCAGTATCCAGAGCAGTACTTCACTGAGCCCCAGGCCCAGGAGGTGATTGACAGGTTCAGACAGGAACTGAAGGATATAGAGGAACACATCCTGAGCCAGAACCAGGGACTGGAGCTACCTTACCTCTTCCTCCTGCCCAGCCGCATCGAGAACAGCATTACTATCTAGATTAGACCCCAATGTCTTTACATTATTATTTTTCTACTTACTGAGGAGCAGGGCCAGACTACCGCATTTGGGGCCCAGGGGCCCCGGGGAGGAGCATCCCACTAGGCACAGACGTCAGTTCAACATCAAGTCATTGGATTTAGGTTAAAAGTTGGGTGAAAAAAAGACGAAATGCCCTTACATTGATCGCTTTTTGCAAATCCAATTAGTTTTCCATGTCATCACATTGATTTTTTTGGGTTGAAATTATGTGGAAACAACGTTGATTCAACCAGTTTTTGCCCAGTGGATAGGCCATCAACTATAGTTCTCCAGCAAACTATGCCTTAACCCTTATCTCAGTTAACCCAGAACTAAAATCCAGACCCTGCACCAGGATAAAGTGACTAAGGGGGCAGTTGAAATCGGCGAGGGGGAAACATTTTGGGGGGTTCTTGCATTGGAATTATATTGAATTCTGCTTATATAATCACGCTATACCACAGTAAACATAAAGTTCAAATGCTGAGGCTCTGAGATCTTTGAGTGCTTTTGAAATCTGTAGCCTATCTCTGCTGCGCTGTATCAGCACAATGGACGGCGCCCTACAGCTAAGCAGTTTTGGTAATGAATATAGGCTACAAGATAGATAGGGCAATTCACCTATTACAAACAGCCTATGTGAATACAGCCTTACACACAGCTGTCTCACCAAAATAATGCAAACTAGTTATTCATGCATGCAAACATAAATACTGAATAGTAGTTTGGCTTAGAATACAGACATAACTGTGAATGCGAAAGAATGGAACAGAACAAAACAGCGGTACCAACTAGTAGGCCTGGTAAACAAAATATCAGATTGATAAAGGCATGACACAATCTATATTTAGGCTAGTTACATTAACAGTAAACAAAAAGCGAATGGATATCCAAATAACCAAAACATAGCCTACAGTGATATCCAGCCATGCACAGCTGTCTTGCCAAATAAATAGGCCTATAGGCCTGCTTCAAACATGGAAAACCATGCCGCTCGCTCATGAGTTCAGCAACACATTGTGATATGGCACAATACACTTCTGTGAATCAAATTCGATCCCAGTAATCAATTAAGCAATGACAGCCTAACATAAACACGTTTCCAATACGTACAGTTCCATATACAGCAACGAAAAGCAATAGGATACCAAGAAATGCTACATTCTATTATGGTTATCTATTTCTATGATGACACATACCCAGTGGTGTAAAGTACTTAGTAAAAATACTTTAAAGTACTACTTAAGTAGTTTTTTGGGGTATCTGTACTTTACTTTACTATTTTTGCCAACTTTTACTTTTACTTCACTACACCTAAAGAAAATAATGTACAGTTGAAGTCAGAAGTTTACATACACTTAGGTTGGAGTCATTAAAACTCGTTTTTCAACCGCTCCACAAATTTCTTGTTAACAAACTATAGTTTTGGCAAGTCGGTTAGGACATCTACTTTGTGCATGACACAAGTAATTTTTCCAACAATTGTTTACAGACAGATTATTTCACTTATAATTCACTGTATTACAATTCCAGTGGGTCAGAAGTTTACATACACTAAGTTGACTGTGCCTTTAAACAGCTTGGAAAATTCCAGAAAATGATGTCATGGCTTTAGAAGCTTCTGATTGACATAATTTGAGTCAATTGGAGGGGTACCTGTGGATGTATTTCAAGGCCTACCTTCAAACTCAGTGCCTCTTTGCTTGACATCATGGGAAAATCAAAAGAAATCAGCAAAGACCTCAGAAGAAAAATGGTAGACCTCCACAAGTCTGGTTCATCCTTGGGAGCAATTTCCAAACACCTGAAGGTACCACGTTCATCTGTACAAACAATAGTACGCAAGTATAAACACCATGGGACCACGCAGCCGTCATACCGCTCAGGAAGGAGACGCGTTCTGTCTCCTAGAGATGAACGTACTTTGGTGCGAAAAGTGCAAATCAATCCCAGAACAACAGCAAAGGACCTTGTGAAGATGCTGGAGGAAACAGGTACAAAAGTATCTATATCCACAGTAAAACGAGTCCTATATCGACATAACCTGAAAGGCAGCTCAGCAAGGAAGAAGCCACTGCTCCAAAACTGCCATAAAAAAGCCAGACTACGGTTTGCAACTGCACATGGGGACAAAGATCGTACTTTTTGGAGAAATGTCCTCTGGTCTGATGAAACAAAAATATAACTATTTTGCCATAATGACCATCGTTATGTTTGGAGGAAAAAGGGGAAGGCTTGCAAGCCAAAGAACACAATCCCAACCGTGAAGCACAGGGGTAGCAGCATCATGCTGTGGGGGTGCTTTGCTGCATGAGGGACTGGTGCACTTCACAAAATAGATGGCATCATGAAGACGGAAAATTATGTGGATATATTGAAGCAACATCTCAAGACATCAGTCAGGAAGTTAAAGCTTGGTCGCAAATGGGTCTTCCAAATGGACAAAGACCCCAAGCATACTTCGAAAGTTTTGGCAAAATGGCTTAAGGACAACAAAGTCAAGGTATTGGAGTGGCCATCACAAAGCCATGACCTCAATCCTATAGAAAATGTGTGGGCAGAACTGAAAAAGCGTGTGCGAGCAAGGAGGCCTACAAACCTGACTCAGTTAAACCAGCTCTGTCAGGAAGAATGGACCAAAATTCACCCAACTTATTGTGGGAAGCTTGTGGAAGGCTACCCGAAACGTTTGACCCAAGTTAAACAATTTAAAGGCAATGCTACCAAATACTAATTGAGTGCATGTAAACTTCTGACCCACTGGGAATGTGATGAAATAAATAAAAGCTGAAATAAATAATTATCTCTACTATTATTAAGATATTTCACATTCTTAAAATAAAGTGGTGACCTTAACTGGCCTAAGACAGGGAATTTTTACTAGGATTAAATGTCAGAAATTGTGAAAAACTGAGTTTAAATGTATTTGGCTAAGGTGTATGTAAACTTCCGACTTCAACTGTACTTTTTACTCCATACATTTTCCCTGACACCCAGAAGTACTCATTACATTTTGACAGGAAAATGGTCCAATTCACACACTTATCAAGAGAACATCCCTGGTCATCCCTATCTGATCTGGCGAACTCACTAAACACAAATGCTTCATTTGTAAATTATGTCTGAGTGTTGTCTGTGCCGTCTGGTTTGCTTAAAACAATACTTTTGAAATGGTTTATACTTTTACTTTTGATACTTAAGTACATTTTAGCAATTCCATTTACTTGTAATACTTAAGTATATTTAAAACCAAATACTTTTAGACTTTTACTCAAGTATTTTACTGGGTGATTTTCACTTTTACTTGAGTCATTTTCTATTAAGGTATCGTTACTTTTACTCAAGTATGACAATTGAGTACTTTTTCCGCCACTGCACATACCGATAGGTAGCTACACCCAGTGGCGTCATTTGGGTTCTTGCATTGTAATTATATTGAATTATTCTCATTTCACGCTATACCACAATAAACATAAAAGTTCAACAACAACAAAATTGACCAAGCAGTGACAGGTTCAATGGCACGAAATCTCGCTGCGCTCTATCAGTACCATGGACAGCGCCCTAGATACTAAAGCAAGATTTTGATAAAAAATAAACTAGATTGTTTCAATCTTACCTTTTCAAATTAGTTTCAGCTTCCTTGATGCTCTGTGGAACTTCCTGAGTAATCGATCATTCCATTCTCCCCGAAATCATCTTGTATGATCCCCTCAAATGCCAGTTGGATTAGTTTAGCTTTCTTCGGGTGTAGCATGCTTCTTCTGAGTTTACTGAACACGTTTGTCAAAGTGAAAAATGAGTTCTCGCATGTAGCTGTGGACGCCCCAAAAGTCAGTACATGTTTTAGTGCAGTAAGCACGGTCGGCATAGTGGAGAGAGGCCCAGAGAATCGTTGCAGGATATCAATTGGGGTCCATTTGTTCTCATTGGAGCCAGAGCAGGCGATTTGAGTCTTCAAAAACTGGCGAGCGACACTAAACTCAGCTTCCACCAAATCTGTTTTGCTTAGATCCAGCAGTGGTTTCACCTTTTTCACACTCTCTAGGTCAAGGACACACAGGGCCTCCACCAGTTGGCTGTTGCGTTTGCTGAATCGTTCTGACATTTCACCAATGACAGTATCCAGTTGCGCAACTATGGGGCAAAACAGAAGGGGGTGGCTTAGATTGTTGACAACATGTAGGCTTAGCTATATTTACTCTCCAATGTTTCTTGAAAAATGTATACATTTTCACAATGAGCACTTGTTGTCTCTCATATACATCCTTACAGTTGTTGGTTAGCTAGCTAGCACATTTTAGCCATATTAGCATTGACATGAAATCAGTCAAAACACCTCAAAACAAGACATGGTATCAAAACGAAATGAGCTGAAACGAGCCAATTACGATTCCCCACATGGCAGTTTCTTGGCATTCTTGCTAGCAATCTGGACAAGACATCCAGAATCACAACGTGCTGACTTCTGTCCCATGGAAGCGCGCACATCGTTTCCATGATGTTGTCAGCTAACCCATCTATTTGTTTGGAGGCTGGAGAAGACTGAGGATTCTGTGCACCATGGTGGCTGTACATTTAAAGCCGGGATCCGTCACCGCCTTCAGTAGCCCTGTAGCCTCGCGTCTTACTTCTGTGTTGTAGGAAGGCGTGAGTTTTCCTCCGCTTTTTAAGGAAACCCAAAGGAGTCACACCTAACCACCCAATGGCTTTCCATAGACCCCCTACACACCGCGTTGCGCTCTGTCCATTGTGCTGACACAGCACAGCGGATATATATTTTTTGCGCCACCTGTCACTCAATCATTTTATATAGTAAAATAAAACTAAAACGGATGGTGCTAAAGTTTGAACTGAGGGGGCTAAATCCCATAGCGGAGCCGGCCCCGTTAAAATCTTGCATAACTTGGTCAGATTTATGTTTACATAATATATCCACGAAAGATTACATAACTCTAACCCTTAGGCCTATCATTTAT